TCATCTGGGTTATAACATATGGGTCATGACATATGGGTCATGGCATATGGGTTATGACATCTGGGTTATGACATCATCTGGGTTATGACATCATCTGGGTTATGACATCATCTGGGTCATGACATCTGGGTTATGACACCTGGGTTATGACATCATCTGGGTCATGACATCTGGGTTATGACACCTGGGTTATGACATCATCTGGGTTATGACATCTGGGTTATGACATCATCTGGGTTATGACTTCTGTGTTATAACATATGGGTTATGACTTATGGGTTATGACATCAGCTGGGTTATGACATCTGGGTTATGACATCATCTGGAGGTGTCAGATTGGTGTACAGACATCCGGTGAAAAAGTGGGGAAAGGGTACCACTTCCCCCATTGGCACGAGCAAAGACTAAGTAACATCCACCCCAAATATTTTTACCAACACGAATATATTACGTTGATGTTAACTAAACTGCTGTCGATGAATTGTATCCATGCATTAGTTCCTTTCTTCTGAAAATATAAAATCCGTACTTTCGTCCACAACAAAAATCAGTTGTTTGAAAATATCTAATCTCAGAAAATACGTCATTTTTTTAGTTATAAGCTGCCTTGAAATACGGACACTTTTTTCTGAGAAGTCTTTAAGATATACATATAGGATATATATGCCTATATATATATATATATATATATATATATATATATATATATATATATATATATATATATAAATATTCATTTATACATATGTTTATTGTTTAAGATTTTTAGATAGATCTATACTTTTCGAAGAGGTCAGATATTGGGTAGCGAAGAGGCTGTTTTTTAGAAACAATGTATAGTGTGTGTGTGTTTGATATTTCTGTTACAACTTATAAATACTTCGGCTGACTCAGATTGTCTTCAGACTGCTAGCGAAATATTCAGGGGAGTGAACTAAGAAAATGTTTACAAAGAAATATTTAAGGGTTATCCTTGTTCTATACATAGCTGTGTATCTGATCTGACTCGTGTGAAAACGTACGTGTCTAGACAGTGTGTGTAAGAATGCGATTTCGTTTTGGCAAGCCTTTGTCATGAGTATCCTGCCTTATCCGTCGTATTTCTGTGTACAGTGACATAATATAGCCACATACATAACCAAATACTTGTACAATTGAACATGATATATATTTTTGTAAAGAATCGTGCTATTTTTCGACATTGTGAAAACTTGGCCAATCCATTTGTTGACGTCATCTCATATTCACCATTGGCACGATTGATCTGTGTAAACATATTGACAACAATGATTGAAATGTATATTATTGATTGATTCTCAAATTGATTTTGAACCATTCATTTTTCTTTTGCTTTGAATAAAATTTCGCTAAACCCTAAAGATGTATGATTGTTAATTTTTTTTAAATTCTAATTAATTTTTTAATTTTATTTTATGTGTGGACCCTCATATATGTTTATATTTGTTGGTGCGATGAGACGATATAGTCGAAAGGTTGAGAAAAGGACTGCTAACCCGAAAGTCTCGAGTTAGAATCCAGGTTCAAGTCCGAAGAATGTCCATGAGTTCCCCCAGCTCTCTACATGAGTAACGTTGGGGAAAGTAAAGACGGCTGGGTATAGTGCAGACCTTGAAAGAAACAGATGAACTCTACTTCACTTGCCCAATGGACGATCATGTTACATAAGAAACTTTGATGCTGGATTATGTGATACACACACACACACATATATAATTATATATACATAAATATATATATATATATATATATATATATATATATATATATATATCAAATACTGTAAGATACAGGGGGTGTCAGATACATCAGAGGAAAGGAACTTAAGTGTATGATACAGAGGTATGATGTTTAACACAGATACACTGTGTACTGTTACATACAGAGATGTCAGCAAACTCACGGGAGTATCAAAGTGAGGTTATCTTTTCAGATACTGAACAGGGTAATTTGTCTGCAAACTAGGTATGCCAAAACTAGCACACTAATTAACATTGTAAGTAGCTTACAACATTGTAAGCTACTTATTTCGTGATGTCCATTTAACGATTTTCTATCCTTTAAATTTAAAAATATATAATGTAAACTTAGATACCAAACGAAAGTTTAAAACCATTGCAGAAAATAGCCATTTTTATTTTTATATAAATCGAAATTTCCAATACCAATACTTCATAACTGCAAGCTCAACATTAATTAACAGGGACATAACTGTAAATTGTTACATAATTATGGTTACATCCCTTGAACGCTACTCTGAATTACGAGACAAGTAAATCTATTTGAGATACAGGCTTTGTTTTTGTTTTTAATTATTTTTATGTCAACACCAGACCAACTTTGTGTGGTGCTGTGTTGGAAAAGAAGGGGGGGGGGGGGGGGTTCAGCTACAGGTTTTATTGATATGTAATAAGTAGGGTTATTGAGAGGCAGTACGATATTGGTTTTTTTTACTGTGAGAGGCAATATATATTTGTGCTTAACAAAGGAGAGGCAGCAAGATATTTGTGTTTTTACAATGGAGAGGCAACAAGATAATTGTGTTTTTACAATGGAGAGGCAACAAGATAATTGTGTTTTTACAATGGAGAGGCAACAAGATAATTGTGTTTTTACTAGGGAGAGGCAGCAAGATATTTGTGTTTTTACAATGGAGAGGCAACAAGATATTTGTGTTTTTACTAGGGACAGGCAGCAAGATATCTGGGCTTAACAAAGAGATGCAGCAAGATATTTGTGTTTTTACAATGGAGAGGCAACAAGATATTTGTGTTTTTACTAGGGAGAGGCAACAAGATATTTGTGTTTTTACAATGGAGAGGCAACAAGATATTTGTGTTTTTACAATGGAGAGGCAACAAGATATTTGTGTTTTTACTAGGGAGAGGCAACAAGATATTTGTGTTTTTACAATGGAGAGGCAACAAGATATTTGTGTTTTTACAATGGAGAGGCAACAAGATATTTGTGTTTTTACTAGGGAGAGGCAACAAGATATTTGTGTTTTTACAATGGAGAGGCAACAAGATATTTGTGTTTTTACAATGGAGAGGCAACAAGATATTTGTGTTTTTACTAGGGAGAGACAATAAGAAATGTTTGTGTTCAATGAATTTGGCATTCATGTGAAGGTATCACACATTATTGTAACATACACTAATGTGTTACACACATACACACCTAACACAAGCACACACATGCACACACCTAAAACAAGCATACAATCTCTGTATGACAGGACACATATTTAATAAATGAAATAAAACAGTTTATTCCTATAGTACATGTTTCAGGTATTACTCCAAAAGACTTACTTCACACACTTCATGACTGTGAATAGCCAATCAAATCATTTATTATGGCATGCAGTATACAAATACAAAAATTGTAGGAATAAGTTCAGAAAAAAAACATTCCCCAAAACTATATACATTTATAAGATGGAAGATCAGAAATCTCACCAGACTAGAACAACTCTAACAAGCCAGATTTTTGTACAGCTAACTGCCAAATCTCTCAACAAAATAAATAAGCCTGTAAGACAAGACTAATATAAACTATTTAAAAAACTGACCAAATCTAATATTAATATTTTTTTTTAATTAATCAAGTCACAAAAATTCAATTATAATATAGGCCTACCTGCAAATTCAGTGTATAGCAAAAGTTGCCACATAAAGATTTGTATCAACAACCTTTGAAAAAAACTAAATTGGATTTAGTGACTAAATCAATTAAATATTCTTAATATTCACAGACCTTATTTATGCATTCAAATATGCTTTTAAATTACTGGCTCAAGAATTTTAAATAGGGTTTCTTTCAGTCATTTTCTCCAACGGGGTGGGGGGGGGGACACTTTTATAATTTTCATGTGGGGGGACGGGGACTGGTTAAATTTTATATTTTCTAAATCAATAATATATTTTTTGTCTGTGGGGGAGGGGAGGGAGAGGTGGAATTGCAAAAGAGGAGGGGGGGGGGGGGGTGGTCTCTGAGAGATGCTTGAAAGAAACTCTATTTTCAAATAATATACAAACTTTGAAAAACTAAGTATACTGAACTGTAAATCATCTAAAAAATTTAAACAGAACATTTTTTTCTGACCTTTTACAAGACAAGGCATGCAGCAGAAGGCCAATTGAATAAAATGCAGATGTTTGTAACAAGCTTTTATAAGTTCTGGGTCTATATAAGTTCTCGTTATAAGTTACAGACAATACAAAATAATATGGAGCTATCAGGTTTCTTCACAACAAGTATACGGAAATAAAGGGCAATATTATATAACCTATTACAAGGACATGCATAAAAATTTAGAAGTAAAAAAAAAACTTACTCTTGCATGTACACTGTGGTAATATTTGGCATCAGTTCTTGTATAAAGAATAAATAATGAGGAAAAAAATCAAAAGAAAGGAGTGAGCAGGCAGAGTATTTGTAGAGGTATTTTTTATCAGAGATCAATAATTAATTGAAATGTTGTATATTTTTAACAGGTCACTGATAGTCACTGTCTCCTCCCCCCCCCCCCCCCCCCCCAACACCTTTATTTAAATCATTCAGAATCACCTCCCCTCCCCCATCCCAAATACTTAACTGATACGAATAGAACAGTTCTAGCAGTCCTTGAATAGAACAGTTCTAGCTGTCCTTGATAGTTAAATTAATCCAATCTCAAATGGAGCATGTCATCCCCACCCCTGGATCATGTGCTATCCCACCCCAACCCCGAACAAAATAGAAAAAAGAAACTATGTTAACCAGTCCACCGTCAGCCCCCCTCCCCCAAACCCAGAAATTTTAAATGTCTGAATAAGTCATCGAACATCATAGAATTAATTAAAGCAGATAAAGAAAGATTTAGTGGAAACAGATTTAATAAAAAAAAAACTAGCTGGAATTGTGTGTGTAACCATTTCAAAACTAATATTCAAGATTTGAGTGAACTAAAAATTAAACTTATAGGACATGTACTGGCACAGAAAGCTTGCTGATAGCAGGAATACCATACCACATTGACACCATGCCAAATAAATATTTTAAATTACAGGTTAAAAATAAATTCACTTAGCAGAGTTGTATTTCTCTTATTTTGTGCCAGATAAATATTTTAATTAACAGAACTAAATTCAATTCAATTAGCATAATTACATTTCTCATAGTTTGTGTCTATTTCTAGACAACTATTCCCAGAATTGTATTTTCTTTGATTTTCTATTAATTCTTTAAATAAATTCAGCCAGATAAATTTATAAACTACATACCAAAAATTAATATTTAAATAAAATGAAGCTAACCATGCTGATTGGTGTCTAAAATGTCAGTGTTCTGGTACCTCAAGGCTTTAACAACAGCATCAGGAACTGGCAGGGTGTGCATGTCCTTGAAGCTGAGGTGCGTGCAGATAAACACGGTCCTGATTACATCCAGACAAGACATGACCAGCCTTGGCACCTCGTCCAGCCTGTGCCTCAACCTGGCAGCCAAATCAGGACGGACCAGACGCAGCGCCAGCTCCTGGCTCACCAGCTCCTCCCTTTCCAGCTTCGAGAACGGCCTTGACATCTGCTCACACAGGTAAACCCCCGTGTCGAACCTGTCAAATTTGAAAGCTTTTCTAAAAGCCCTGTGTTTACCGAAAGCCCTGGCGTAGATGTCTGCACCGTAGGAGAGTAGAGTCTGGCATAGCTTGACGTTACCTGAGCTGGCAGCAAGGTGAAGGGGGGGATACGCAGCCGGGTCCTGGTACAAATGGACATTAACAATACAAGGCTCCGTGGCGAGAAGCAGCTCAACGTATTCAATGTTCCGGCTAGATATTGCTTTATCTAACGGACGCAAGCGATTAACATTTGGTCTGTCTAGAGAGGTGGACAGGTTAATTAACTCACTGATGACCGCGGTGTTGCATCTGTCAGCATAGTGAAGAAGGGAGTTAAACGCGTAATCCATATGAGATGATAGGAACCCGCTTGGGTATAATTCAGGGGACATAAGCGATGATGCAGCGTCGTTGTGCCCTTGCTCTAAAGCAAACTGGAGAGGGATTTTCCCGATGTCGCCACTCAAGAGGCAAGGATTAGCACCATTGTTGAGGAGTAGCTCTACTATATCCTTAGAGCCAACCCCAGCAGCTAAGTGCAGGGGAGTTAAGACATCATCGTTAGCCATGGATCGCCTCTCAGAGTACCTGATACTGCTCTTCACGTTAACACTGGCACCTTTTTCTATGAGAATCCGACACACATGCAACAGATCACACGCAGACGACTGGGAAATATTTTTATCTCCCCGAAGATCCAAGCACTCGACTAGAGGTGTTTTTCCGGCTTCGTCAGTGGCATTGACGTCTGCGCCCAGCTTTAGCAGCAACTGCACCATCTGGACTAATCTCTCAGATGCCGCAAGGTGCAAGGCTGTGGTTTTTCTCACCTTCACAGGTGCATTTATGCTCAGGTTGCTGCAAGCGCTGTGAACAGAATCTTTCAGCTCATCACACTTATCTACCAAGTAGGAAGAAACTTGAGTGTCTGGAAGTATATGTGAGCTTAAAATTTCCGCCGGAGTCTGGGGCGAGAATAAAATCTGAAAGAACGGGAGGAAGTTTGAACTTGCTGCAATGTGAAGTGGAAGATACCCTTGATTGTTAGCATGGTGCAACATTTTCTGCAGCCAGCGAGATGCTAAAACTGCTTCAAACAATGACTCCGATTTCTTTCTCACAATCACATGCAGGACTGTGTCTCCGTTTTTATCAACAACCAACTTCTCGGCCTTCTCCAACATTTTTTTAAAAACTTTCTCAAAACCTGATTTATCCACTGCCCTGAACAAAGCCTTGGAAGTGATGACATCAGCGGACTTTAAACCAGGGAATTTAAGTTTATTAGGGTCAGCGTGGGGGTCGCAGCCGCATCGCATGAGGTACAGGGCAGTATCCGCAAGCCCTTTGGCGATGGCGTGAAGTAAGGGTGTAGAATGCTGATGTGGACACAGGTACCAGTTGAGGGCATTCGGGCAGTGGGTGACCACAGCAGGCCGGACCAGTTCGTTGATACACTTCTTGCATTCATCCACCTGGTGGTCGTCTATAGCTTTGGCTAGTTGCTTTTGTTGTTGTATTATGTCTTCCAGAGTGGCCTGCTCCTGGGTTTTTAAAAATTAGAATTAAAGTTAAAAAACAACTTCATGAATACTTAAAGCCACAGAAAATGTATTACTAATAATCATTTGTTAAGTAGGTATTAAGAAATAAGATTAAATTTTGAAACTTAAATCTAGAAGTAGGTTTATATTTTTTTTAAATCATTAGGCCTATATTAACAAAATTATACCAGGTTAAAAATTAACAAAATACCAAATCAAATGTGGCTAAGCAAATTAAAATTAGGTTGAATTCTGGGTAGAAAATGTAATAAGCAAGAACTGTCACCCCATGTTATTAAAAGCCATATTATGTGAGCAGATTTAAAAAAAATGAGTGGACAAATAATTTACAGTTGTTTCCCTTTGTACTTAATCCTGCTTAGGTATGTTATTTTTTATTTGGATAAGTTATTTCCAGAGTTTCTCACAGAGTTCTCTCTTGAGAAAAATGTCTGCAAGTCAACTGAAAGAAACCCTGGTTATTTATTACATCAGCAATACTGAGAAAAATTACCTGACCCCTGTGAATGATTGAATTAATAACTATTGTATTATTATATTAAAAAAAGGCTACCATGTCCACTATATGAAAATGTAAATAGTAAATACTAGTAAATAGTCTAAATACAAATCCTGTCAGGCCAATATCTGTTGTTTAACTTTTAGCAGATAAGTATTAGATTGCTGATTTACCAGCTTCTAGATCTAGATCTGTACTATAAAAAATAAATGTAATCAAACTATTAGACTGATAATAGAATTTTTATCTAGAAACTAAATTTAGTTAGGCCTATTGGTCATTCACAGTCACACACTCCAACCCCAATGTTTACATTTGTGTAGTTTAGTCAGTTTAGTGTTAGTGGGTGAGAGATGTGTTTGGTAATTGTATTAGTTAGGCCTTTGGGCTGTATTATTTTAATAAAATGTACTGAATGCACTTATGTATTGATTCCATGCCTTGACCTTAAAAAAAAGAAGACTAAATCTAAATTTAGTTAATTCTATCTGCATATAGATTTATCTAGGAGACAGTAGTTACTAGATCTATAGCCTACACGTAAATACACTAGTACTACTATAGTTTTACTATAGACTGTCTATGCTATAGCCTATAGGCCATTTTATTATGGTTAAAACTTAAAAGTCTAGAGTTTACTTAGCTGCCGTAAGGGCTAAAATCTTGATCTAGATTTAGAATACATCTATCTAGAAGACTCGAATTCTAGTAGAGATATACATTTTGAGCCGTCCTTTTAGGATTTCATAGTGTCAGCCGCCAACCAATCACACGCGAGCTTTCTTGTGTTTTGGTTGGCAGCTGAAGTAACTCTTTTTGGAGCTAAAAAGGACCAAAAAAAGCAGTTTATTTTTTCTCCATGCAGAAACTAAACTGATCCTTAAATAGTACTAATATATAACTAAAAAAATTATAGACAAAGTGCTATAGCATCATACAGAAAATGTGTAGTATCAGTATATAATAAATTAGTTCATTAACAAATTAACTATTAATAATGATAATGAATAGTTTGTTTCGGTTAAGTTAAGACATGACACACAACACTGTGAGTGCGTGGTATGTGGCTGAAAGGTGATTGTCCAAATTATTGTTTTGAGTTTATATTTAACTCAATGCAACAAGCCCACCCGTTGGTTGAGGCCAGGCCGGGGGGAGGTTCTGTCCCAGATTCAAAGGGTCGACTCAAAATATCATCGCTAGATCTAGATCTAGTAGAGTTAAGTAGAGTAGATTACTTTTACAGATGTCTTAGTAAATCTAGATTTAGACAGATTTTAGCTTTAGACTAAACTAAACTAGAAACTCTAGGTTAGTAGTCTAGATTTCGGATGATTATAGATTCTAGTTATAGATACCGGTGTCCGATAATAGACTCCTCCATAAAATAGGTGTGTTGGGTTTGTTAGTAGTATTGTAATCTCGACTAATTTTATGGTTAAAAATTAGGGTTAGGCGTATGATAGAACCAGGGTTGGGGTTAGTATTGAAATTAGCCAGCCATGTGTGTATTATTTAGTTAACTACCAGTAACCTAACACCCCTTTTTTAAAGAAGCTTCCATTATTATTATCGGACCAGTAACCTAACACCCCTTTTTTAAAGAAGCTTCCATTATTATTATCGGACACCGGTATAAATATTCTCCCTAGATTTCTAAAATTAGATCTAGATTGAGAGATTACAATCTAGATTTAGAGAGAAGTCTAGAGTCTAGATTAGATTAGTGAATAGTAATAGATCTAGTTGTAGTTAGATTTTAGATTTAAAAAAACTAAAAACAACTTTTTTGATTTTCTAGATTTCTAATTTCTACTTTTTAGATTCTAGATTACTACTGCTGTCCAGTGTCCATCAGTTAAAGAATTGATCGTCAAAAATCGTATAAATATAAAAACCTCATCCATTTCTTGTTAATGATTAGGCTGTGCATGAATTATAATAGAAATTCAGATCTATAATTATTGAATAATAAATAACAACAAAAAATTCAAACACTCAGTAGTGCTAATCAAAATCAGCTGTTAGTAATCTGGTTGCACTAGCTACCGAAAATCAACAGTTCTTAGATAAGAGGTGCAAGCATTAAAAATTAACCTTGAGTAAAAAATGTAAGTCTATTTAATAAGTTGTCAGTAGACATGCTAATAACTTATTTTTATTATTTTTGCATCTCTAAAATAATCAGATGCCTCAAATATAGATTTTCAAAATGAACCAGGACGTAAATGACTTAATTAATAATTGTACTTTTTTAGAAGTAAGCCTAAATGTAAAGACTAGTAAAGATAGTGCTCTGGTCAAGATTGTGTCGTTTTGCTCCATGGCATCAAACTGAAACAAAATAGTCAAAGTTTAAACTGAAAATAAAGCTTAATAGCTAAGTAGACCCCCCCTCCCCCGAAGAACGTCTACCGCCCCCCCCCCCCCCCCCCGAAAAAACGAAATGGAATTTTATATACAAAATATATACTTTTACCAGTGTCAGTACCTTCCCCCTCCACGCCCCCTCTCACCCCCCCCCCCCCCACGCCCCCTCTCACCCCACCCCCCCCCCGTAGAAAAAAGTCTGGAAGAAACACTGATCATAATTAATTACTGCCAGTGTTTCTTTCAAGCATCTATTCGGGGGTGGGGGTAAATCTGTTTAAAGTTCTAATTTAGTCTCGTTTTCAAGAGTATTGTTATTTCTTCTTTGTTACTTTGTTAATAACATATCTGTTTTCGTGTTTTGGTGCCCAAGCTAAGTAAGTGATGTGTAGTGCTGTTGGTCAATTTATGAAGAAAAATTAAGGCAAACATTACTTGACGATGTTGTATTTATAGTTTGTTTGTTGTTGGGGTTTTTTTTTTGGGGGGGGGGGGGGGGGGTGTAAACCGCGAATGCAAGTGTTGTGCTCTGAGATAGGTTTAGGGTCACGGTCAAAGGTCAAGTACTACTATAGACTTCTCACAGGGAACCCAAAGAGAAACTACTCCAGTTGGCTTGATTAAGATAAACTGATACATTCAATGACACTACGACAATCTTAGTAGGCTATATAGTAGAAGATTTGAGTAATATGTGTGAAAGGGGCTTCATTTTGAGTCAGTTCCCGTTGTAAAACCAAGGGGGGGGGGGGGTGCTATGGACAGGGAGAAATAGCAAGCGTCCGTACCTCGCACAACTCGTGTGCATCTATACAGAGGCGTAGCGATGGCGGGTGCCGGGTGACACCATTTAGGGGTGGGGGGTGACACCAAGGCAAAAAATAGCAAAATATATACAGAAAAATAATAATTCCCCTGAATTAAATGATTAATTAGAGTGAGTTAAATAGTCTTTTAAGAGCACAGTTAACAAATCCCGACAAGGGTGGAGGGGGGGGGGGGGGTAACACCATGACGTAAACCTGATAATGATAGAGAAAACATATGCTACATCCAGCTGTATTTATAACCGACTTTGGATAAAAATCGTTAGTATTATCTGAGCACATCTGGGGGGGGGGGGGGAGTGAGGGGGTAAGTTACATCAACTCAACGTTGCAAAATCTGCCTGAGGAAAAATTTTCGTTGAGAATCGTAATAACCTATGTGTTAAGCCATGTATGAGTTTGGGGGGGGGGGGGGGGGGGTAAAAATTTAAATACATTCAGAAAAAATATTTGAATACAATAACACATGCGCATACACATACTTACAAGTGTGTATAGTGTATGGTATATATATATATATATATATATATATATATATATATATATATATATATATATATATATATATATATATATATATATATATATATATATATATATATATATATATATATATATATATATATATATATATATATATATATATATATATATATATATATATATATATATATATGTTTTTTTCTTACGGGGGGGGGGGGTGTTAAAGAATTGATCATTATGTGCCGCAACGGGTGACACCCGACCTCGCTACGCCACTGCATCTACATCATAGGTACATGAAGATTCCAATCACTAGATGTAACCTAATTTAAAAACAGTAGCACAACTATTGATATTGTTCTCATTCCTTTGGTTGTTGTTTTTTTTTATCGTCAGCAATAACTTAAATGTGTACGATAACTTTCTTTACTTCACATCATTAAAACAAACAAATCGACTCATGCACGTGACTTTCTCGCTGGCGGCATCGTCCATAAATAACGTCACGCTCCGTAAGACGAATGTCCCTTTACCTATATGCACAGAAGTCAGACCTCCTTAGCGCCTTAGTAATTTTAGCTCATCCCGACCCTCAACCCCTAGTTGTTATTTTTTAAATATTTTTTTTTCATTTTTTTTAAAAATACGAATAAAGCTGGGTGGAGGTTGATTATATATTGATCAATATTGATCAATATGTATGGCGATATAAAAACTTTCTTTTAAAAAAAAATGCGAAATAATTAAGTGCACTATTCACTGCACGATGAAGTCACACTTTCCCAATACGCTACTTCAGAGGCGTAGCGAGGGGGGGGGGGGGTGGGTGGGGGGGGGGGCGGACCGCACCGGGTGACACCATTTAGGGGGGAGGGGGGGTGACACCAAGGCAAAAATTAGCAAAATGTACAGAGAAAAATTTGAGGGGGGTGCAAATCGAAAGTTTAAGGGGGGGTGCAAATCGAAAATTGAAAGTTTGTCTCGGGAAGGGTCGCTAAGTCTGTGTGGGGGTGACACCATTAAGTGTCGCACTGGGTGGCACCCGACCTCGCTACGCCACTGCGCTACTTGCCATGATTGTGTCAAATATTTTCACCGCAGTCTCCCAAGGACGATCTACCTGACACCACTCTGGTAAATGATATGAGAACCTCTGGTTCACGCTAAGAAATTTCACATTTTATCTCTAACCTTGTTGACTGATCGGGGATACGCTATCACAATCACATATTGGTGTGTTCGTGGATGTGGTTGGTGTGTTCGTGGATGTGGTTGGTGTGTTCGTGGATGTGATGGTGTGTTCGTGGATGTGATTGGTGTGTTCGTGAATGTAATTGGTGTGTTCGTGGATGTGGTTGGTGTGTTGTTGGATCTAATTGGTGTGATCGTGGATGTAATTGGTGTGTTCGTGGATGTGGTTGGTGTGTTGTTGGATTAATTGGTGTGTTCGTGGATCTAATTGGTGTGTTCATGGATCTAATTGGTGTGTTCGTGGATGTTATTGTTGTGTTCGTGGATGTGGTTGGTGTGTTTGTGGATGTGGTTGGTGTGTTTGTGGATGTGGATGTGGTTGGTGTGTTCGTGGATGTAATTGGTGTGTTTGTGGATGTGGTTGGTGTGTTGTTGGATCTAATTGGTGTGCTCGTGGATGTAATTGGTGTGTTCGTGGATGTGGTTGGTGTGTTGTTGGATTAATTGGTGTGTTCGTGGATCTAATTGGTGTGTTCATGGATCTAATTGGTGTGTTCGTGGATGTTATTGATGTGTTTGTGGATGTGGTTGGTGTGTTTGTGGATGTGGTTGGTGTGTTCGTGGATGTAATTGGTGTGTTTGTTGATGTGATTGGTGTGTTTGTGGATGTGGTTGGTTTGTTTGTGGATGTGATTGGTGTGTTCGTGGATGTGGTTGTTGTGTTCGTGGATGTGGTTGGTGTGTTTGTGGATGTGGTTGGTGTGTTTGTGGATGTGATTGATGTGTTCGTGGATGTGGTTGGTGTGTTCGTGGATGTGGTTGGTGTGTTCGTGGATCTAATTGGTGTGTTCGTGGATGTGGTTGGTGTGTTTTTGGATGTGGTTGGTGTGTTGTTGGATGTGATTGGTGTGTTCGTGGATGTGATTGGTGTGTTCGTGGATGTGGTTGGTGTGTTCGTGGATCTAATTGGTGTGATCGTGGATGTAATTGGTGTGTTCGTGGATGTGATTGGTGTGTTCGTGGATGTAATTGGTGTGTTCGTGGATGTGGTTGGTGTGTTTTTGGATGTGGTTGGTGTGTTGTTGGATGTGATTGGTGTGTTCGTGGATGTGATTGGTGTGTTCGTGGATGTGTTTGGTGTGTTCGTGGATGTGTTTGGTGTGTTCGTGGATGTATTTGGTGTGTTCGTGGATGTGGTTGGTGTGTTCGTGGATGTGGTTGGTGTGTTCATGGATGTGGTTGGTGTGTTTTTGGATCTAATTGGTGTGTTCGTGGGTGTGATTGGTGTGGTCGTAGATGTGATTGGTGTGTTCGCTTATTCTCGTAGATGTAACTTGTGTTTATTTCAGATATTTTTCTTCGAGTGTGTGTGGGGGGGGGGGGTTGAAATTTTAGGGGAGAAGAGTGGGACACTGGTAAAAGTATATACATGATTTATGTATAAATTCTATTCCATTGGTGAGGGGTGGGGGTGGGGTGAAGATCGTTGATGTGTTTGTCGCCCTTCTATTATAAGTGTGTGTGTGTGTGTGTTGAGACCTACGTAAGTGTAGGCCTTTAATTATAATTGTACAACCCTACACCCTTATTATAATGTAAGGCCCATTCGTATATGTTATGCCTATGTTTATAGTTATGTGCTTTGAATTACTGAGTGTTTGTTTGGGCCTATATTAGTACAGTATGCGCATGTGTAAGGTCTATCTCCAGTATGTGTATGTATAAGGTCTCTGTGTATGTGTATGTGTAAGGTCTATCTGTAGTATGTGTATGTTTAAGATCTCTGCTGTATGTGTATGTGAGGCTGGTGCTTCAATTCTTTCCTCCCTTACAATGACTGAAGCCGCTGATTTGTCGTAGATTGTCAACAGGTTTGACCTACATCAATCAAGTGGCTCTTTAGAGACTAATAACACTACAAGCTAGAACTGATTTCTCCCTTCCTTCCTAAAATACGTATCACTCTCGTGACCGTTGTGTGTACCTTGTAATTTTTTTTTAAGGTTTATGTTAGATCACTTGATTTCTATAATTAAGAATACACAGGAGACTTCATCGAGTTAACTCGTGTATATTATTATTCACAACAGACAGCTCAGACGACACATCTTGTCTCGAATTCACCGTCTGATATCACACTAGTTACACACCGTAAACAGACTGAACATTCAAGGGACTTAACTGTGAAAAATATACTGCAAGGGTCGTATTACTAACCCAACATCACATTACAGTGTATAGACTATTGTTCCGTTTTATCCACACGGACACAAGATTGAGCTCAGTGAATGTTTATTTTTAGCGTCAGTCAAGCGTGACGACCGCCGGCTGATGTCCCATGTCTGATAGAATCGCGAGTGTGTAGTAACGCACGTAGTCAGTGTTTGTGGACTGATGCTTGATGATGATGTGGGTTAGTGACCCGCTGTTTATCATAGTTGTTTGTTAGTGAATGTGTTTATCATAGCTTTGTGTTAGTGAATGTGTTTATCATAAATGTGTTAGTAAATGTGTTTATCATAGCTGTGTGTTAGTACCAGCTGTTTATCATAGCTGTGTGTTAGTGAATGTGTTTATCATAGCTGTGTGTTAGTAAATGTGTTTATCATAGCTGTGTGTTAGTACCAGCTGTTTATCATAGCTGTGTGTTAGTGAATGTGTTTATCATAGCTGTGTGTTAAGGAATGTGTTTATCATAGCTGTGTGTTAGTGACCAGCTGTTTATCATAGCTGTTTGTTATTAGAGCTTTTTTTGAGATGTGTAAGAAGCTAGCTGTTTATCGAACTGTTTATCAGTGAATCATATTCTTGCAACAAAGTTTACGTAAAATAACATTGTTTTTGCAAAGCTTTAAGCTCAAACATTCCAAATGTGAACAAACATTTTGTTTACGGAAGAAACAAAAATTCACGGATTAATTCAACCAATTTAAAGGACATTTCATCTGACGATGACTCGGTGGTTTAGGCCATCTTGTTGGATTTTACTTCTGGGTTTGATGAACACATACCAGGTGTTCGGCACTCCGGATACAGGTAACTAGAACTACACGTACTTTGTGAGTTGGTCTACATCTCGTATTGTTTACACGATAGGTCCGAATCCCTTCTTTATAGATATCATTTCTGTACTTTTTACATTATTTTTTTAATTGAAGTAAATTATTGTGCATGTTGATGAGCTCTCTTCATTTCTGGAGATCTCGAGTGACTTGCATTTCTTCTCTCTTCTTTTTACCTCTAACATGGGTACCCAACCGCTTTTTGCAAAACGTTAGAGCAAGTTTATCTTTGGAAATCTTCAGCAACTCTTGACATCTTCTTTCATAGGGTGAAAATCCAGCAATTTCTCTAAGAAGATCCCTTACGAATTTTGCATGCTTAATTATAGTGGCAGTCCCATTCTACATGTAGGCCTGTTCTTCTGCCATTTTCAATTTTAGTAACTTTATGACCTTTGTTGAGGCCCACTGATAAATTATAACGGACACCCATTCCTAAACTGGTAGGCCTATGTGCCTCTTTTATTGACAGCTTGAGATATCGTTTCTGCCCTGCGCTATAAGTGTGTCAAAGATTACCTTGAGTTTTCCATTGTAAGCTAATATTAGTAATATGGGTAGATGCGCGTGGTTAAGGTTAATGACGAGTTGTGGCTGGTTTGGGTTAGGCTAAAGAATGTAATTAGTGTATTATGGTTTAGGCAAGTTTGTATTGGTTATCGTAGTTGCGTTGCTTCCTGCTGACAGAAAATGTTCCTAACACAAATCAGAATGAAGAGTTACACAATCAGCTCTTTCAAACAACTTTCTTGTAGAGTTATTTTCCCCTGCCTGGTAGCTTGATTCGGGTAACTTGGGGTTAATTTCAACTTGTTACGTATAGTAATGACGAAGAAACTCAGATCGTAGGGGCTTATGACAAGAGCCACGGTCTGTCAAAGACAATCACGCAGGGCATCGTACCAGGAGGGAAAAGAAAGGGAAAGCAAAGACGACACTGGATGGATGACGTCAGAGATAGGACTGGCCTGTCCGTTGCTCAACTACTTAGATTGATTGATTGATTGAAATATGCTACTTTAAGTCTTTTACGTTAAGTTTCAGGTAGACTAAGTTGTTAATTGGCTTAAGATGATCTCTCACATACAGGAGACATGACGCCTATAGCTAGCCTTGTAATTAATGAATGTTTTTTTCTGATGTAAACTTTGACCTCTGACCCCAAGTTCCGGTCGAATCCCACTGCAACGACGTCATCTTTTTCCACCAATCAAAGCTGGTTGTGCTGGAGCATTGGGCCAACCTGTCTGACACCAACTGCACGCTGGGGTTTCTAGCCTTCACACCGTACCATCACAACGGCAACCCGTCGAGGGTGAGTAAGGTTTATCTCCACTTCCGGGAGCACGTTACTCCCCCCTCAATCACCCCCCCCCCCCTTCTGCTCTTTCCCCACTCTTTCACCCATCATTATGACAAGATCGATAACCCTAGTACATAACCTCCCCCCCCCCCCCATCCCAAAAGTTTGCAGTAGATTCCCACCTCCCCTTTATAGATTACTTTTTGACCCTATGCATAATTGTGGCAGGGTTTCGTCATTAGTATTAGTAGTAGGGATAGGTATGTATATAGGGATAGTTTAGCGTTGGGGATATAAAGGAATAGGGTTAGTGTTAGTATCAGAGATAGGTAGGAGTATAAGGATAGGGATAGCCTCAGTTTTTGGGAAGGGTGTACTGATAGGGATAAGGTTAGTGCTAGGGATGGGTGTGTAGAAAGTATAAGGTTAGTGTTAGAAGTAGAGATAGGTAGGCATATAGAGATAGTGATAGTGTGAGAATTAGGGATAGGTATAGAGTTTGGGGTGTAGGATAGGTGAAAACATACGATGCCACCACAGTTGTTGTCTATTTGCAAACATCCCGTCATTTTTGGGTGTTTACTTGTTTTTCCCATCTGCAGATCCACGTGACAGTCCTGCACGCGTCACTTCCGGGAACAAGGACACCGTGTCACGGTGACCGTCTGGATATCATCGACAGCGACAAAGTTACAGTGCTCAGTGGTACAATTAGGTGCAGGTTTTGTGGGGGGGGGGGGGGGGGAGCAGGTTTTGAATTGGTGTAAGGGGGGGGGGGGGCAGGTTTTGCATTGGTGCGGTGCGGTGTGTGTAAGGGTAGGCGGGGGGGCAGGTTTTGATTGGTGCGGTGTGTGGTGGTGGTGGGGGGGGGGGGCAGGTTTTGAATTGGTGCGGTGTGTGGTGGTGGTGGGGGGGGCAGGTTTTGGATTGGTGCGGTGCGGTGTGTGTGGTGGGGGGGGGGGGGGCAGGTTTTGATTGGTGCGGTGTGTGGTGGTGGTGGGGGGGGGGCAGGTTTTGGATTGGTGCGGTGTGTGTGGTGGGGGGGGCAGGTTTTGGATTGGTGCGGTGCGGTGTGTGTGGTGGGGGGGGGGCAGGTTTTGATTGGTGCGGTGTGTGGTGGTGGTGGGGGGGGCAGGTTTTGAATTGGTGCGGTGTGTATAAAGGGGGGGGGGCAGGTTTTGGATTGGTGCGGTGTGTGTGGTGGGGGGGGCAGGTTTTGAATTGGTGCGGTGTGTGTGGTGAGGGGGGGGGGGCAGGTTTTGAATTGGTGCGGTGTGTGTGGTGAGGGGGGGGGGGCAGGTTTTGAACTTGTGAATAAGAATTAACTAAAGAAAGAACTGTAATTGAAATAGAAAAAAAAAACGTCATCTCCCCTACCCCAGGTAAAGACGGTATCTGCGGAGATTTTACCGGCTCGTTTGACTCCACCCACAACACTGTGTACTTCCGGGTGACGTCATCAAATGTGACGCTTAATGGCAGGGCAAGGGTGCTGTTCAGTGCTTTCAATAGTGGTGAGTACATAGCGTTAGATCTGCTGTTTGTTTGTTCTAATGCAAGAAGACAATCTTCAGCCAAAGGGATAACATCCCTTCATTGTATTGGATGGCGCCTTTAGTAAAGGTATATTTAGAGGATGAAACCCTAAAATATTTACACATTATGGGATGGCGCCCTCAACAATTTGGATAATCGTGCCCCAACAATCCATAGAAGTGCACCAAGAATGCAGGGTAGTGCCCCAACAATCTAGTGTCCTTAACTCCTAACAATCTAGGTGTAGTACCCCCAAAATCTAGTGCCCCTACAATACAAGGCATGGGGCCTTGTACAGCCGCTGTACAGCATCCATCAGTAACGAACTAATTTGAATCAGACTGGAAGAATACACCGAAACAAACAAAAATGTCAAGAAACACATAAGGAAAGACAAACGGAGTTATTTGGAACTGCTGGCAAGAAACTCTGCACTCATTTAAATCAGAGATGAGGGCATTACTAGAACACACAAAGCGTCCCCTTGAGTCAACCTTGACCATTTAATAAAATAACTACTCACACGTCCCCTTGACTCTAATAAAATTACTGATTAAGTACTCACACTCTACACAGACACGTGCGACACAGAGAAAGAGTTTTGCTGCGACAACGGGCGCTGTGTCGACGAGAGTATGACGTGTGACGGCTACGACGATTGTGGTGACGACAGCGACGAGGACGACGGCTGCATGTTCTCTACTGGTGTCATCGCCGGCATTGCTGTCGGGTCGTGTGTTGCCATGATGCTGATGGTGGCTGTGGTAGTGTTGGCATGGAAACGAAAATGGCGGACTGGATGGGTAAGTTTTGTAAACTTGTTGGCTTGGGTATATGTAAACAGATGGTATGCCCGTACGAAAGTGCATATTAAGCCAATAAAGTGCAAGAGCGACATTCTAAAACCTTATAATAAAGATGGGTCGAAAAATTACGTCACGGGAGGGGGGGGGGGGGGAGAGGGAGAGAGAGGGATTTGTGACAGTTTGTCACCATTAGCATTAAAATAAAATAAATTATGTTTTTTTTTTTTTTTTTGCACTATTAAATTTGTAAATTTTCAGAAAAAACAAAAGTTGCATCGTTAAAGGGGGATAGGGATGGTGAGGGAGGAAGGGGGTGAATAGTGACATCATTTCAATTGATCTACGTTTTTGTGGTGTCAGGAGGGGAGGGGGGTAAAACAAAATGTTTCACCAAATCATGATACGTTATTCACCTGAAGACCGTTAAATTCGAACTAAGGGGAAACACATTTTTTAAAACTTCACATTTATGTGTTTTGGATTGTGAGTAACAAAGTGAATTACCACCATAGTTTCTTTCAGGCATCTCTTGTGGTGGTGCGAAATAGAAAGGAAAAAATATATTTGTGATATTTATACAGAATACATATATACTTAACCAAATTTTTAATGTACACCACGGGGGTTTCAAATGACTCACGCCCCCCCCCCATTTCCATTGGAAAATGCCTGAAATAAACCCCGCTTCCTATCGTAAAACAGTTTTTTTAATGAAACCTGGGCAGCAAACGTCTTACATTTTGCCACGTAATGTAATCAATAAACCTCCTATAAATTGTCTCATGACATCATGTAATTTACCTCCTGATTCTCTTATAACACCATGTAATTTACCTCCTGATTCTCTTATCACACCATGTAATTTTGTCACCAGGGTGCTGGTCCTAACCCTTCATTACAGCCATACTCCATCAATGAAGAGCGTCAAAAACTCCTATCATGAGGAAACATTTTTTTCAACATAAGGGAAGTAACTACTCCTGTCAGAAGCCAAAGAATATTATTACTTGTTGTCTCCCCTACCTCAGCATGTACAATTTGGGGATAACTTTTAATAATGCTTAGATCTAGATCTTTACTATGCGACAAAATCAACACAAAAATTATGGTATATAATTATTTGTATTAATACTTATTTTTGTGATTTGTTTTTACATGATCACACATTCTTTTAAATCAAAATATTTTGTAAAAATCAAGTTTTAAATTCATAAAATTTATATTTTAATTTTGATGAAATGAAAGTGGGTATAGTCTACATTACATACTGCAATTACCTTTTTTTATATCTTTAATATTTATAATGACAAATTATTTTAGTTGATATGTAGCAATTTTTATCCTTATTTAGTATTGAATTTAGAGATAGGATTAATTATATATTTTTGAATGTTGATTTCTTAACAAATATATTAATAAACACATGTCTGTTAAATTAAAAATGTATGTGATAATAAAAATAATTATGCATTGTTATTTCATTGATTAAATATACTGGAGAAAAACCAGTTTGACCAATAGAAAATATTGTTGTATATGAGTAAATCTGATGGAAGTTGTACTAACAACCAAAACATCACCTCATATTTTAAAACACAAGCAAGTCTATTCATTTAAGATAGAAATGCATAATTTGATTTGGTTCAGGTTAAAAAATTTTTTTTAATAAATTAGCAGAAAATCTGTTTCTTTGTTAAAACTATTTTTAAAAATTAAACCAACAGAAAATATATTTTATATAATTTTATTTAAACAGCAGATCATTTTTATAATCAAGAAATGATTACATTAATACAGTGTAAGTTATATATATGAAAATTGACTATTATGCTTAAACAATTGCAACACAATTTAATACTTTGATTAGCACTATACATTCAAATGTATAAAACAGTTCAGTGATGAGACTCATAAACCAAAGAATTGAATCAACAATTAAAGCTTTATCTTTGGTTTTAGCCCATCACCACAACATCACTAACAATTTGATTTTTAAATTCAGGCCAATACTAAAATGTTCATATGCACACACACCAAACTTTGACATGAAAACATAAAAAATCTGGCAAGATTTTTTAACAAGTGTTAAACTGTAAAAAAAAACAAAAAAACTGATTTTCTACATTATGTATGATGAATAATCTATCCAGTGTATTAACTAAAATTAACCACACAAAATAAATGTATACTAATAATGCCTTACAACAGAAAAATTGCCAACAAACTTATAAAAAAAAGTTATATTTAGCTAATGGCTATTTCAGCAAATCACAAGATTGTCATAAAATCGAGAATAGAAAAGTGTATCCTCGATGAATGACTAGCTAAGTAACAAAAACAAGATGAAAAAAGGAAGAAACAAGCCTGTGTTTGGATTTGTCCATACCATAGGGTACACAGACACAAACATGAACACTTGACCAGATATGGCACTTTTGTATCACAAACATTTTGTTAAGTAAATGGTTGCTGCTTTTTTTTTTTTTAATTCATAGGATTACATTTTTTTCACCCAACAAAAAAAAACTTGGAAATGAAAACACAATACTAATCTAGTTGCAGCCATTTTACAAAATGATTCATTACAATCAATAAACATCAACCAAATCAAAATAATGTACGATACTTTACTCAATAATACCATCAAACAAGCCATAAATTCAAACATTTGTATGCCTAAATTAATATCTTCAAACAAAAGAGAGTATAAGAGTTTATAATATCTAAACCGTGTAAAAAAATTATAAATATGAATTAACATTGAGATTGCGAAAGTGTAGAGAATAACAGGCGTTCACATGATGGCATACCATCTTTACCTGCACCTGGCCAACCAAAAAAATCTGGAGTAAATAACTAAGCCATTGAATCAATTCTATTTCATTAGTTTACAAATACTCTCACAGAGTTTTGTTTACTAATTGTAGTTAATTATATAGTTATCTACAAATTAGACTAAAGGTGTATATAATTATAATATATGTGGAATAATAATAGTAAGTTTTATACACCATATTAGAATTGTGTAAAGAAATATCTCAAATATATAATGTATGTGTGGAAATAATATTAAGGCTTTTAAGTTCACATTTTTTTAAAACTGCTCAACCAACAATGTAATTTAATTTAAAAAGTGTACAAATGAAAACTTTTGAAAGACTACAACCTATGCACACATTGTATTTTTAGATTAGTTATTTTGTCTTTAAAAAGTAATACAATTGTACTTTAAATCCTGGTGTAAAAATAAAAATTTGAACATGTGGTACAGCTGAATATCAACAGAAAAGTTATCAGTAATTTCATACAGTTTGATGGCTTCTTTAAGTTTACATCTGACTAATTATTTCTTGCTGGCGTGTTTTTTAAGAGCTGCTCTAATGACAGCGAGACTGTAGTCCACGTCTCCTTTGTTAAGGCACATGGGCGGCTTGATGCGGAAACACTGCAGAAAAGACAATAGAAGGTTTATACTTAACTTCAGACGACGCAGATGAGACAATAGAAGGTTTAAACGTAACTTAAGATGACACTTTCTTAATTTTTTGAATATATAGTATTTGTATAAACCAATTATTAGATTTCAACATTGCAGGGGTTATATTATAACACAAATAATTGAACAAAATTGAAATTATATGCTAAGTTACAGAAGATAAAATGTGCTTACGTTTCCATGGAGACCACCCTTGCCAATCAAGACACCCATGTTCTTTGTGTCCTCCCAAATTGAGGCCACTTCATCAGCAGGTAGAGGTGTTCTAGAGGCCTAGAGAGAGAGAATACATAACAGGTGTTCTAGAGGCCTAGAGAGAGAGAATACATAACAGGTGTTCTAGAGGCCTAGAGAGAGAGAATACATAACAGGTGTTCTAGAGGCCTAGAGAGAGAGAATACATAACAGGTGTTCTAGAGGCCTAGAGAGAGAGAATACATAACAGGTGTTCTAGAGGCCTAGAGAGAGAGAATACATAACAGGTGTTCTAGAGGCCTAGAGAGAGAGAATACATAACAGGTGTTCTAGAGGCCTAGAGAGAGAGAATACATAACAGGTGTTCTAGAGGCCTAGAGAGAGAGAATACATAACAGGTGTTCTAGAGGCCTAGAGAGAGAGAATACATAACAGGTGTTCTAGAGGCCTAGAGAGAGAGAATACATAACAGGTGTTCTAGAGGCCTAGAGAGAGAGAGAGATTACATAACAGGTGTTCTAGAGGCCTAGAGAGAGAGAGAGATTACATAACAGGTGTTCTAGAGGCCTAGAGAGAGAGAATACATACAGGTGTTCTAGAGGCCTAGAGAGAGAGAATACATAACAGGTGTTCTAGAGGCCTAGAGAGAGAGAATACATAACAGGTGTTCTAGAGGCCTAGAGAGAGAGAATACATACAGGTGTTCTAGAGGCCTAGAGAGAGAGAGATTACATAACAGGTGTTCTAGAGGCCTAGAGAGAGAGAGAATACATAACAGGTGTTCTAGAGGCCTAGAGAGAGAGAATACATAACAGGTGTTCTAGAGGCCTAGAGAGAGAATACATAACAGGTGTTCTAGAGGCCTAGAGAGAGAGAATACATAACAGGTGTTCTAGAGGCCTAGAGAGAGAGAATACATACAGGTGTTCTAGAGGCCTAGAGAGAAAGAGATTACATAACAGGTGTTCTAGAGGCCTAGAGAGAGAGAGATTACATAACAGGTGTTCTAGAGGCCTAGAGAGAGAGAGATTACATAACAGGTGTTCTAGAGGCCTAGAGAGAGAGAATACATAACAGGTGTTCTAGAGGCCTAGAGAGAGAATACATAACAGGTGTTCTAGAGGCCTAGAGAGAGAGAATACATAACAGGTGTTCTAGAGGCCTAGAGAGAGAGAATATGTAACAGGTGTTCTAGAGGCCTAGAGAGAGATTACATAACAGGTGTTCTAGAGGCCTAGAGAGAGAGAATACATAACAGGTGTTCTAGAGGCCTAGAGAGAGAATACATAACAGGTGTTCTAGAGGCCTAGAGAGAGAGAATACATAACAGGTGTTCTAGAGGCCTAGAAAGAGAGAATACATAACAGGTGTTCTAGAGGCCTAGAGAGAGAGAATACATAACAGGTGTTCTAGAGGCCTAGAGAGAGAGAATACATAACAGGTGTTCTAGAGGCCTAGAAAGAGAGAATACATAACAGGTGTTCTAGAGGCCTAGAGAGAGAGAATACATAACAGGTGTTCTAGAGGCCTAGAGAGAGAGAATACATAACAGGTGTTCTAGAGGCCTAGAGAGAGATTACATAACAGGTGTTCTAGAGGCCTAGAGAGAGAGAATATGTAACAGGTGTTCTAGAGGCCTAGAGAGAGAGAATATGTAACAGGTGTTCTAGAGGCCTAGAGAGAGATTACATAACAGGTGTTCTAAAGGCCTAGAGAGAGAGAATACATAACAGGTGTTCTAGAGGCCTAGAGAGAGAGAATATGTAACAGGTGTTCTAGAGGCCTAGAGAGAGAGAATATGTAACAGGTGTTCTAGAGGCCTAGAGAGAGAGAATATGTAACAGGTGTTCTAGAGGCCTAGAGAGAGAGAATATGTAACAGGTGTTCTAGAGGCCTAGAGAGAGAGAATATGTAACAGGTGTTCTAGAGGCCTAGAGAGAGAGAATATGTAACAGGTGTTCTAGAGGCCTAGAGAGAGAGAATATGTAACAGGTGTTCTAGAGGCCTAGAGAGAGAGAATATGTAACAGGTGTTCTAGAGGCCTAGAGAGAGAGAATATGTAACAGGTGTTCTAGAGGCCTAGGGAGAGATTACGTAACAGGTAGAGGTGTGCTAGAGGCCTAGAGAGAGATTACATAACAGGTGTTCTAGAGGCCTAGAGAGAGAGAGAATACGTAACAGGTAGAGGTGTTCTAAAGACCTAGGTAGAGATTACATAACAGGTAGAGAGAGATTATAGAGAGAGAGAGAATATGTAACAGGTGTTCTAGAGGCCTAGGGAGAGATTACGTAACAGGTAGAGGTGTGCTAGAGGCCTAGAGAGAGATTACATAACAGGTGTTCTAGAGGCCTAGAGAGAGAGAGAATACGTAACAGGTAGAGGTGTTCTAAAGACCTAGGTAGAGATTACATAACAGGTAGAGAGAGATTACATTACAGGTAGTTTTCTGTATGTCTCAGTTTCTCCACACAACTGTACCATGTCAAGTTTGGACCAATCAAAAGAGATCAAAACTTACTTTATCTTTCACCAGCTCCACATCAAGTGAGAGCAAAACTTACTTTATCTTTCACCAGCTCCACAACAAGTGAGATCAAAACTTACTTTATCTTTCACTAGCTCCATGACAAGTGAGAGCAAAACTTACTTTATCTTTCACCAGCTCCACATCAAGTGAGAGCAAAACTTACTTTATCTTTCACCAGCTCCACAACAAGTGAGATCAAAACTTACTTTATCTTTCACCAGCTCCACGTCAAGTGAGAGCAAAACTTACTTTATCTTTCACCAGCTCCACATCAAGTGAGAGCAAAACTTACTTTATCTTTCACTAGCTCCACAAAAAAATGAGATCAAAACTTACTTTATCTTTCACTAGCTCCACAAAAAAATGAGATCAAAACTTACTTTATCTTTTACCAGCTCCACATCAAGTGAGAGCAAAACTTACTTTATCTTTCACTAGCTCCATGACAAGTGAGAGCAAAACTTACTTTATCTTTCACCAGCTCCATGACAAGTGAGATCAAAACTTACTTTATCTTTCACCAGCTCCACAACAAGTGAGATCAAAACTTACTTTATCTTTCACCAGCTCCATGACAAGTGAGAGCAAAACTTACTTTATCTTTCACCAGCTCCATGACAAGTGAGAGCAAAACTTACTTTATCTTTCACCAGCTCCACATCAAGTGAGAGCAAAACTTACTTTATCTTTCACCAGCTCCACAACAAGTGAGATCAAAACTTACTTTATCTTTCACCAGCTCCACGTCAAGTGAGAGCAAAACTTACTTTATCTTTCACCAGCTCCACATCAAGTGAGAGCAAAACTTACTTTATCTTTCACTAGCTCTACAAAAAAATGAGATCAAAACTTACTTTATCTTTTACCAGCTCCACATCAAGTGAGAGCAAAACTTACTTTATCTTTCACTAGCTCCATGACAAGTGAGAGCAAAACTTACTTTATCTTTCACCAGCTCCATGACAAGTGAGATCAAAACTTACTTTATCTTTCACTAGCTCCACAAAAAAATGAGATCAAAACTTACTTTATCTTTTACCAGCTCCACATCAAGTGAGAGCCAAACTTACTTTATCTTTCACTAGCTCCACAACAAGTGAGATCAAAACTTACTTTATCTTTCACTAGCTTTACATCAAGTGAGATCAAAACTTACTATATCTTTCACCAGCTCCACACCAAGTGAGATCAAAACTTACTTTATCTTTCACCAGCTCCATGACAAGTGAGATCAAAACTTACTTTATCTTTCACTAGCTTTACAACAACTGAGATCAAAACTTACTTTATTTTTCACCAGCTCCACAACAAGTGAGAGCAAAACTTACTTTATCTTTCACCAGCTCCACGCCAATCATGAGACCTTTGCCCCTTACATCACCCACGACCTCGAACTCTGACCTCAGCTTGTCCAGTTCATTCAGGAAATAAGTTCCAATGTCAGCACACAGAGCTTGAGTTTTTTCTTTATCAATCACCTGATGTGACATAATTTAGTCTTTATTATCTCATCCATTGTTTATGTGAAAAACGGCATACATAATAAATATATATTTAAATTTATACATATTTATAAGTTTATACTCTGCCTGTATTCACAATTATAAAAAATCAATATATAGATTTCATAAATTTGGTTAAAAATTTATAATTATAAGTTAGGTAAGTAAAGTTCCCCTATCAGACTTCACAATCAAGAGTGCAGATAAAGTAGAGTTCATTTGTTTCCAGACATCAGCGCATGAAGGGATCATGTGGTCAGCACTATGCCCAGCCCTGTTTACTTTCCCTCAAGTCACCCAGGTATCTATCAGAGCTGGGTAGATTCAGGTTCTTACAGTTTCAATTCTATATTGAGATTTGAACTCAAGACCTTTGAACCAGCAGTTGAGCGCTCTACCACCTAACCAGGCCATCCCATATTATAAATACATACATAAACTATAAATGTGTATACTACGGAGTAAAAAATTCTTAATAAAAGCATGTACAACTTACATCCAGGACAGCTGATCCAACAGCTGAGGCTATGGGGTTCCCTCCAAACGTGTTGAAATGTAGAGCCTTGCCCATGGTGGCTGCAATCTCTGGTGTAGTGACCACAGCACCCATGGGGAAGCCATTACCTATTCCCTTGGCCATTGTCACTGAAACAATCAAAAACAGAATGTGGTAACTCATCACTCAAAACAACATAATTGACACAAATCAATATTTATTTAAATATATATTAATTTTGTATTTTATTCAAAGATTATTTATTTTAATCTATAAAAATTTGTAACAAAACCTACATCATTCTGTAAGATTTGACTAGTTATATTTCAAAAATTAAAAAGTACTTAAGAGAAGGGAGGTCACCCAAAATTACTAACCAATATCTGGCGTAACTCCTTGACTTTCAAATCCCCAATAGTGGGATCCAAGACGTCCAAATCCTGTTTGCACCTGGGACATAAAACAAAAAAAATCCAAACATTTTATGACCAAGTAACATATTTTTATTAAAAAAATAATATCACCAACATAATGAACCACTTGTCAGCATATGAATTTCTGTATTTAAAACAAATATTGAAATTTGAACCAATCCATAAAACAAAAATTGAAATTTGAACCAATCCATAATGAGAAAGATATTCACCTCATCAGCAATACAAACACCGCCATTGGCCCTGATTTTCTCGTAAGCTTTCTTCAAGTAGCCATCAGGTAACTGCACAGATCCACCCACACCCTGAAACAAGCATTCAACTAATTTTAAAAGGTCATAAAGCAGACTGTAATCTATCAGCACACTTAAAAAAAACTGTTACATCATGAAACTAATCACAAACACTAGTACACACATTTTATTATATTAATATACAAGTCATTTTCTTCAGGGCCTAGTAAATGAAACATTAGAATGAACAAATTTAAGGCCAGTTATCATATTATATTTTGGTTAAAAACAAACAGGAGATTAAACTTTGAATGACAATGTTTCCATCAAATAGAAATGTCATAGTTAAATAGACAATTCATTTCAAACAGGACGTCAAAGGGTTATCAAACACTAAGCATTAAGTAGCTAATTAAATATTAAACTTCCTTTATTACATAAGTTAAAATATTTATAATCAACTTTAACAAATAGTGGGAAAGTATTGAGTTCAAATCCGGGTTCAAGTCAGTAAAATGTCTCAGAGTCCACCCAGCTCTGATAGATACCTGACTCACATTAAGGAAAGTAAAGGCGGCTTGGCATTGTGCTGACCCCACTATTCCTTCATATGCCAAGGTCACAGAAGAAGGTGAACTCTACTTCACTTTCCCCATGGACCGGGGAATATTAAACAGAATATTAAATTTTAATAACAAATTAAATTTGAGACAGACCATAAAACAACAAGTGTCAACCAACCTGAATGGCCTCCGCTATAAAAGCACCCACACGACCTTTGGGCATGGAGAACCTCAAGACGTCCTCCAACTGGTCAACATAGTTGTCACAGGCCTGGCACTGACCTTGTGGACAGTCACATGGGCGCTGGGGCTAAAACAAATATTTACTGCGGTCTTAATGTTGAATCTTTACTACACAGCATGGAATTTGGATGCGCTGGGGCTAAAACAAATATTTACTGCGGGCTTAATGTTGAATCTTTACTACACAGCATGGAATTTGGATGCGCTGGGGCTAAAACAAATATTTACTGCGGGCTTAATGTTGAATCTTTACTACACAGCATGGAATTTGGATGCGCTGGGACTAAAACAAACATTTACTGCGGTCTTAATGTTCAATCTTTACTACACAGCATGGAGTTTGGATGCGCTGGGGCTAAAACAAATATTTACTGCGGTCTTAATGTTGAATCTTTACTACACAGCATGGAATTTGGATGCGCTGGGGCTAAAACAAATATTTACTGCGGTCTTAATGTTCAATCTTTACTACACAGCATGGAATTTGGATGCGCTGGGGCTAAAACAAATATTTACTGCGGTCTTAATGTTCAATCTTTACTACACAGCATGGAATTTGGATGCGCTGGGGCTAAAACAAATATTTACTGCGGTCTTAATGTTGAAATTTACTACACAGCATGGAATTTGGATGCGCTGGGGCTAAAACAAATATTTACTGCGGTCTTAATGTTGAATCTTTACTACACAGCATGGAATTTGGATGCGCTGGGGCTAAAACAAATATTTACTGCGGTCTTAATGTTGAATCTTTACTACACAGCATGGAATTTGGATGCGCTGGGGCTAAAACAAATATTTACTGCGGGCTTAATGTTGAATCTTTACTACACAGCATGGAATTTGGATGCGCTGGGGCTAAAACAAATATTTACTGCGGTCTTAATGTTGAATCTTTACTACACAGCATGGAATTTGGATGCGCTGGGGCTAAAACAAATATTTACTGCGGTCTTAATGTTGAATCTTTACTACACAGCATGGAATTTGGATGCGCTGGGGCTAAAACAAATATTTACTGCGGGCTTAATGTTGAATCTTTACTACACAGCATGGAATTTGGATGCGCTGGGGCTAAAACAAATATTTACTGCGGTCTTTATGTTCAATCTTTACTACACAGCATGGAATTTGGATGCGCTGGGGCTAAAACAAATATTTACTGCGGTCTTTATGTTCAATCTTTACTACACAGCATGGAATTTGGATGCGCTGGGGCTAAAACAAATATTTACTGCGGGCTTAATGTTGAATCTTTACTACACAGCATGGAATTTGGATGCGCTGGGGCTGAAACAAATATTTACTGCGGTCTTAATGTTGAATCTTTACTACACAGCATGGAATTTGGATGCGCTGGGGCTAAAACAAATATTTACTGCGGTCTTAATGTTGAATCTTTACTACACAGCATGGAATTTGGATGCGCTGGGGCTAAAACAAATATTTACTGCGGTCTTTATGTTCAATCTTTACTACACAGCATGGAATTTGGATGCGCTGGGGCTAAAACAAATATTTACTGCGGTCTTAATGTTCAATCTTTACTACACAGCATGGAATTTAGATGCGCTGGGGCTAAAACAAATATTTACTGCGGTCTTAATGTTCAATCTTTACTACACAGCATGGAATTTGGATGCGCTGGGGCTAAAACAAATATTTACTGCGGTCTTAATGTTGAATCTTTACTACACAGCATGGAATTTGGATGCGCTGGGGCTAAAACAAATATTTACTGCGGGCTTAATGTTCAATCTTTACTACACAGCATGGAATTTGGATGCGCTGGGGCTAAAACAAATATTTACTGCGGTCTTAATGTTGAATCTTTACTACACAGCATGGAATTTGGATGCGCTGGGGCTAAAACAAATATTTACTGCGGTCTTAATGTTGAATCTTTACTACACAGCATGGAATTTGGATGCGCTGGGGCTAAAACAAATATTTACTGCGGGCTTAATGTTGAATCTTTACTACACAGCATGGAATTTGGATGCGCTGGGGCTAAAACAAATATTTACTGCGGTCTTAATGTTGAATCTTTACTACACAGCATGGAATTTGGATGCGCTGGGGCTAAAACAAATATTTACTGCGATGTTAATGTTGAATCTTTACTACACAGCATGGAATTTGGATGCGCTGGGGCTAAAACAAATATTTACTGCGGGCTTAATGTTGAATCTTTACTACACAGCATGGAATTTGGATGCGCTGGGGCTAAAACAAATATTTACTGCGGTCTTAATGTTGAATCTTTACTACACAGCATGGAATTTGGATGCGCTGGGGCTAAAACAAATATTTACTGCGGTCTTAATGTTGAATCTTTACTACACAGCATGGAATTTGGATGCGCTGGGGCTAAAACAAATATTTACTGCGGGCTTAATGTTGAATCTTTACTACACAGCATGGAATTTGGATGCGCTGGGGCTAAAACAAATATTTACTGCGGTCTTTATGTTCAATCTTTACTACACAGCATGGAATTTGGATGCGCTGGGGCTAAAACAAATATTTACTGCGGTCTTTATGTTCAATCTTTACTACACAGCATGGAATTTGGATGCGCTGGGGCTAAAACAAATATTTACTGCGGGCTTAATGTTGAATCTTTACTACACAGCATGGAATTTGGATGCGCTGGGGCTGAAACAAATATTTACTGCGGTCTTAATGTTGAATCTTTACTACACAGCATGGAATTTGGATGCGCTGGGGCTAAAACAAATATTTACTGCGGTCTTAATGTTGAATCTTTACTACACAGCATGGAATTTGGATGCGCTGGGGCTAAAACAAATATTTACTGCGGTCTTTATGTTCAATCTTTACTACACAGCATGGAATTTGGATGCGCTGGGGCTAAAACAAATATTTACTGCGGTCTTAATGTTCAATCTTTACTACACAGCATGGAATTTAGATGCGCTGGGGCTAAAACAAATATTTACTGCGGTCTTAATGTTCAATCTTTACTACACAGCATGGAATTTGGATGCGCTGGGGCTAAAACAAATATTTACTGCGGTCTTAATGTTGAATCTTTACTACACAGCATGGAATTTGGATGCGCTGGGGCTAAAACAAATATTTACTGCGGGCTTAATGTTCAATCTTTACTACACAGCATGGAATTTGGATGCGCTGGGGCTAAAACAAATATTTACTGCGGTCTTAATGTTGAATCTTTACTACACAGCATGGAATTTGGATGCGCTGGGGCTAAAACAAATATTTACTGTGGTCTTAATGTTGAATCTTTACTACACAGCATGGAATTTGGATGCGCTGGGGCTAAAACAAATATTTACTGCGGGCTTAATGTTGAATCTTTACTACACAGCATGGAATTTGGATGCGCTGGGGCTAAAACAAATATTTACTGCGGTCTTAATGTTGAATCTTTACTACACAGCATGGAATTTGGATGCGCTGGGGCTAAAACAAATATTTACTGCGGTCTTAATGTTGAATCTTTACTACACAGCATGGAATTTGGATGCGCTGGGGCTAAAACAAATATTTACTGCGGGCTTAATGTTGAATCTTTACTACACAGCATGGAATTTGGATGCGCTGGGGCTAAAACAAATATTTACTGCGGTCTTTATGTTCAATCTTTACTACACAGCATGGAATTTGGATGCGCTGGGGCTAAAACAAATATTTACTGCGGTCTTTATGTTCAATCTTTACTACACAGCATGGAATTTGGATGCGCTGGGGCTAAAACAAATATTTACTGCGGTCTTAATGTTGAATCTTTACTACACAGCATGGAATTTGGATGCGCTGGGGCTGAAACAAATATTTACTGCGGTCTTAATGTTGAATCTTTACTACACAGCATGGAATTTGGATGCGCTGGGGCTAAAACAAATATTTACTGCGGTCTTAATGTTGAATCTTTACTACACAGCATGGAATTTGGATGCGCTGGGGCTAAAACAAATATTTACTGCGGGCTTAATGTTGAATCTTTACTACACAGCATGGAATTTGGATGCGCTGGGGCTAAAACAAATATTTACTGCGGTCTTAATGTTGAATCTTTACTACACAGCATGGAATTTGGATGCGCTGGGGCTAAAACAAATATTTACTGCGGTCTTAATGTTGAATCTTTACTACACAGCATGGAATTTGGATGCGCTGGGCTAAAACAAATATTTACTGCGGTCTTAATGTTGAATCTTTACTACACAGCATGGAATTTGGATGCGCTGGGGCTAAAACAAATATTTACTGCGGTCTTAATGTTGAATCTTTACTACACAGCATGGAATTTGGATGCGCTGGGGCTAAAACAAATATTTACTGCGGTCTTAATGTTCAATCTTTACTACACAGCATGGAATTTGGATGCGCTGGGGCTAAAACAAATATTTACTGCGGTCTTAATGTTGAATCTTTACTACACAGCATGGAGATCAGACAACAGGTTTAAAATAAACTGAACTGAGTACTGTATCATAAAAATGTTGTTTTTTTTCATGGTAATTCCACAGTAAATCTCTTGTTTAGTAGTTAAGCCTAGATTTGGATCAAAGATAGACTAGACATACTAGCTAAATAATGAATTCAACATTCTTTAGATGAATTTGTAAGCATGATAGCTACTATTAATAATAAATTCAATGTTGGTTATCCTGTATTTGCAAGCAGCATAGCTAGAAAAGTTTACTAAAATAATAAATTCAATGTTCTTTAGATGAATTTGTAAGAAGGACAGCTAGAAAAGTTTACTATAAATAATAAATTCAATGTTGTTTAGATGTATTTGTAAGCAGGATAGCTAGAAACATTTAGGTCTACTATAAATAATAAATTCAATGTTTTTTAGATGTAATTGTTAACAGGATAGCTAGAAATGTTAGACTATAAATAACTATGTACCTGTCCAGGTGAATCCCTGCAGTGTTTTCCTCCCCATGGACCCCTGTAGGGGTCAGGGTTCATGGCCTGCTGAAACCCAAATCCAGTTGGGCTGTTGTACCTCCACGTTGAAAGGGCAGTAACTCCCATCAAATAGGGGCTGGCACCATGGTAACCATTCCTGAATTATTTGATCAGTAGGCTAACAATTACACAAAATGATATAGAAATCAACATGAAAAAACATTTTACAGTGTTGTTAAATCTTTTTATATTTAATATAATATATTATTTATATAATAATAATATATATTTAATTATATAATAATATATATTTATATAAATTTTATAAAATGTATTCAAGTACACTTGTAACTATATAAAATGATTAACAAAACAAATTGATTTATCAGTATTAATTGGCATAAAATAAGTAATCAAGTACTTTATAAAAATTCAACATGAGAATATAAAGTTAAAAAAGAAATTCCAAACCTCAGTGAAATACAGTCATAGACGCCAGTGTACATCCTTGCCATTAATACAGCAAGGTCATTGGCCTCAGAGCCAGAATTTGTAAGGTAAACGACCTGTTAAAAATACAGTTAAATTTTAAGATGCACAACATAGTGAAAAATAGTGCAATTTCACCAGTTTCACTATATGATGGAAAATACAGCTAAATTGTTGAATTTTGCTAGTTTAACAGTTAATGTTAAATGAATTTCACATGTTTCACAATGAGATGAAAAATGCAGTGAAATTCTGCTAAAATGCTGATCAAATGTACTTTACTAGCTTCTTTAAAATATTTTTATTTTATTTCTGATAATTTTATAAAATCTGCTATTGTACTATTATGTTAAAAATAACATCACTGAAAAATGTATTTATGCTATCAGATGATTACCTTTAAATTTCCTGGCAGTTTAGAGACGAGTTTCTCTGTGTACTCATGAATCTTGGGATGCAAATAAATGTTGGTCGTGTGCCAGAGTTTTTTCATCTGCTTTTCTGCGGCCGCTACCACCGTGCTGAGAAAATATATTAAACATTACACTCCAGAACCATTTTTTAAATTATTTTTTAAATGTTTTTCTGTGGCAGCAACTACTGTTATGAAAACTTAGGCAATATAAAAAATAGTCTCAATAGTAGATATTATTTACAACTATTTTTCATTTAATTTTCTACACTGTCTAAGTAAAACATTTTTAAAAATTAAACAATGTAGCAAAGTTGTAAAAAAATCTAAACTGATTCAAACTGAATAAATATAAATTATTCTATAACAGTGTATTGGGAGATATAATTAATTTTATAAAAGACACATGGGGACACCAGGCTATGGACTTTGCAAAAAAAAAAAGAAAGGGGGGGGGGGGGGGGGCAATCAGGTCGTTATTAGTAAGAAAACATTTAGTATTAATACTTAGTATTACTAAATAACGTTTAACAATACCATTAGCTCTAAACTCTGGTATTGTCTTATTACTAATATTCCAACATCTAATTTAAAAAAAAAACTCAGTTGTTGGTAAAAATAATCCAACAAAGTGGATTGAAAATTTTGTTTTTGTGATACTTACGGATGACAATGTCCAACACTAACTGTGACAATGCCAGCGAACAAGTCGATGTAACGTTTGCCGCTGGTGTCCCAGAGGTACTGCATGTAGCCTTGGTGCACATAGACGGGTTCTTTATAGAAGGTGAACAGGGCAGGGGAGAGATTGTTTTTTCTTATTTTCATCACATCGTTAAGATTTGGTCCCTTGAAAACATTAACGAATATTTACTAATTAAGTGAATTGATTACATGACATCATTAATATACGGACCTTTGAAAAATTACATAAATATAGATTTATATTAAATAATGAAGATAATTGTATTTCACAGTTAAAATCTCACTCCTTAAAAATTTTAGCTTAACATAAAATTAGTTAAAACGTGATTACATAACATGCTTAAAATCAGGTAACTTGAAACAGTATTTGTCCAAATTATCTAATATATAGATATGAGAAATAAACTTTACAGTATATACAAACTCAGGTAAAAAAAGTGTGACAACTTTTGAAATAATGTTCAACAAATCCCAACCAGTAATTTCTCACCTCGTGTTTCGTTGGTTTAACCTCACATGGCGGCATCTCTGGCAAGCCACTAGCAGCTGCCACTGTGGCTTTTGCTCGCTGTGAGCACACATCTTGAGAGATTTTAAAAAAAGGTGTTGAACTAACAGAATTAGTGTGTATTGGTAACAATGCTGGTAAGGATATGGGTATATTTTTGCTAGTATTATATACTATTATTAGGCATGAATTTTGCTAGACTTGTTTTTTTTTATTACTAAAACTGCATAGTTTGATACATTTCTGATCAATGTTCTATAGAGTGATATTTTAAGTGTACCACCAAATTATATACTGCTGCTCTATAAATCCTAGAAAAAGGTATACTAACAATTTGAGGGTGGATAGACTGCAGAGTTATTAAACTACATACGTAATATTTTAGTTTAAACATTTTATAATTAAAGGTGGGTCAGAATATCACAGTTGTTACAATAAGTGCACAAATCCATAAGAGGGTACAAAACAACTTAAAAATGTACTTATTTGATATTTTATAGATATGGGGAGAACAGACTACAGTCTTTTATAAATAGCTGTCAATTACAATTAATAAGTGGTTTTATAAAGTCAAAACATTATAAGAAAGGACATGCCAAAGTCAAGTGTAGTAAAAAAAATGCGGAAAAGAAGGTGATGATGGAAACCAGCAGCATGTATTACCAAACAAGGCTTATCATGGAATACACAAGGTTTGAGAAAAAGAGGTAGACCCAACAACCCCCCCCCCCCCCCCCCCCGCCACATTGGTGAAGAGAAATGGTAAAAGAGGGAGATTACTGTAAAGAAAATGAAAAAAAAAACAGCCAGAAAAGAATGGTAAGGTATCTAATGGGCATTTAAGGGTCATACATAAATGATGTTACGCTTTTTTTTGTACCAGTTATCCCCTCCCCCAATAGTCACACATGGTTTCAAAAAGCCATGACCTCACACCTCAACCTACTACCCCCCCCCCCCCCCCCCATCAAAATTACAGTTTTGTTTTTAATACATCAATTTCTTTGAAAAATATTACCTGAGCTCAGTCAAAGTTAAATATATTTAAAAGGAATTCCTACTACCATTTACATTAACAGACAATATAAAGGCCAAAATTCAGTTTCTAACACTACTTTTTAAATTGCAAACTCTAGTGATCGCACTTTCTGAACACCCACCTCCTCCAGGAATATGACTTTGTTATTGGATGACCCCCCTTGGCTAAGAAGAAGATAGATCTAAATCTGGATTTGTATCTAGTCAAGATATGGTGGGAAAATCAACAATTGTCCTAAGACTAAAGGGTTGGCGTGGTCCAGTCGGTAAAGCTTATGGCAGCTAAATCGAAAAGTCCCGAGTTCAAACCATTGGGTAGATGAGGCTTGTTAGCTGGGGACAGCCACTTTTCTAGGAGAGACAACTCCAAAATCAAACAACTGCTGCCTTGTAGTTTGTTCTTGGTTGGACAAAAGGCTAAGGCAAAGGTTAGGAAGCATAGCCAAAAAGAAAAGCAGGCTGAAATTGGAGTCAATGGCCTAAATGGCGCATAACCAGTTGACATGTAGATCTAGATCTATACTTAATTCATAATTGTGTTGGAGGGGATCCCTTCCAACACTAAAATTAAGAAGGAAGAAGAAGGGTCCTAAGTCAGATGAACATTTTGGACAGTTGTGCTACTTAGTAGTAAGTAAATCTAGTCTAGATCTAGATCTAGAATCTAGTGATCTAGAATCTAGATCCATTATTAATTTTTTATTAATTTAATATTATTGTCTGGTCTAGCATAGGCCAGGCTAACTAACAATACTAACATTGATTGAGTCACAATGGGGGAGGGGGCAAGTAAGTCTAATATTAATTATAATGAAAAGTATTGACAATACTTAACTATAGTCAGTATTGTGTACGATGCACTTTTAGTGATTTTGCCCTACAATCAAAGAACTAGATCTCTAGATGTGTTGGAGTTAGACTCGCTTATGGCCCTTACCTTGCAGAATTTTATTTTTAAGGGCCTAACAATTAACATATAGATTATTAACATTATTATAGATCTAGAATCTAGACTCTAGTTAACATTAACAACAATGATGAACAACGCACAATTTAGAAGATCTAAATTAAACTAAAATGTAAAAATGATTTGACCAGATCTAAAACATTTTAATAATTTACCTTTTGACACTTGCTTTAACTGCTTTGATATAACTCGGAACATGATTAATGATGCTGGTGCAAAACAATGTAGATCTAGTCTAGATCTAGAGAAATTAGATAAAGTGCATCAAAAAGTGTGCACGTAAGCCAACATCAACCTTGTGGCAAGCTGGAAAAAAAAAAGAAATTAAAAAAAAAGAGGTCAGGGACCGTCTAGGTAATTCGGGTCAAAGGTCATTAATTCGGTTAAACTGAGCCTAGGCTTACTTCACTTTTACTTTAAAAATTAACGTAATTATCGCTTTCAGCAACAGTAGATCTATTACTATAGTAGATCTATATGACATTTGAATTTAAGTTTAGCTTTATTTTTTCGACCTTATTTCTTTAACTTTTAAATCCAATTTGAAAATAGGCCTGAATCTAGATCTAGATCAACTGCGAAAGTCTTTAGCCTACTTTTACACTGAGATGGAAGTCAGAAGAATCACCTTCAACTTTCACACATTTTAGGGCCTACACTTCGATAAAAGTAGGTTAGCGTCTATTCTTTACCTTTTTGCTTTTAAACGATGTCATTCGCCGGTTTTTAATTCCTATTTCCAACCTAGATATCTATTCGTTCGCACAATTAAAGGTACCTTCCTACCTTTACTTAAGAAATCCAATGCTATGTTTCGCTCTCTCTACTTTACTTATGTATAAAGAACATTAATTGTCATGTCAATTAATGAAGTAGGCATCAGCTTGCAATACGCCTACGTAGCCGAAATTAAGATTACAATCAGGACTGTTATGATAATGATATGCTGTAATTGCATTTTATGTTAGTGGCAGAGTTTCTTCCAGGCATCTCTTCGGGGGGGGGGGGCTTTGCCCCCCGAAAATTTTTTACCCCCCCCCCCTCCCAAACGAAATGAAATTTATATAATTTATATAGAAAATATATACTTTTAACAGTCAGCTAACATATATTGGCCCAATATTGGCTAAACATTGGTTACCAATATTGGCTACATCTTGGTGCAACATTGTCCCCCCCGAAGAAAGTCTACCGCCCCCCCCCCCCCCGAAAATTTCAAGTGACCCCCCCCCCCCCCCGGAGAAAAAAGTCTGGAAGAAACACTGGTTAGTTGACTGTGTTTTAAATTATGCTGTTGTACGAATAAGGGGGGGGGGGGGGGAGAGAGAGAGTCGTCGTTCATAAAATGACCAAACACGACTGTTTTGCCGATTTCAACTCCAAACTATAAACACAAGAAGTCAGCACCAACACCCCAAATAAATCCTAAAGTGACGTTATATAAAAACAGCTAAATCTAAAATATAATTGACCTTTTGTATAATGTTTAGAAACAGTACAGTGATCAATTTTAAGAATAAGCAGAATTTTTAAATAAAAAGCGAAATGTAGTTAAAATCGTATTTGAAACATTTCTTTTTAAATCGCAGTTTGACGTCACAACATAAGATCCACACTCAATGTCACAGGAGTCCAAATCGTTAGACAAGATCCACGTCGTATCCCCTTTTTCATAATTTTAATTATTTTTATGCCTTTCATGATACGCGTACCTAATTAATAGTTTTCAAATTTATTCAAATTTATTCAAAAAACGGTTACAATTGTAGGCACGAAGGCCTTTTTTTTTTCACATTGGCCGTTTAAACAAATAAAACAATCAATAACACATAGCTCTTCTTCTTCTTCTTCGTTCTTAATTTTTGAATATGGTGGAGGATTCAGACAACAAGACCAACTTCGTGGACAAACCGGACTGTGGTTTCCAGTTTGTCAGGTGACCCATATAATTTTTCCCTGAGTGGGGTTACATAGCGGTAACATAGCACTAAAATGTAAAATAAAGAAATAAGGTTACATAGTTATAATACAAAATGAGATTAAAAAAGAATATAATAGCTGAATGAGAAATGTTACACTGAGTCAGTTAGAGAGGTCATTAAATAATTGTAGTTTTAGTTTAGATTTGAACATATTTTCAGATCTAGAATCTAGATAGCTTTACTGATGCCATTTGGCCTCATTGGCGATTTAAATGTGTATCTTGAAACTGAAAAGATATATAGTATGTAGGCCTATAATATGTGTATATTTATTGATAACCTGTGGCCTGTGGATGTATTGGATAAAAGTATTTTTTTATGTCTAGCATGCAATGCTCAGAAACATTGAAAATTGTTTTGAGTTGATCGAAAGAGAAAACGAAGTATTGATAAAAACTAATGAACCAAACAAATATTTGACACATCGTTAACCTTTTGATCTGGCAATTGTGAGCTATTTTTGTATAGTGACAAACTGTTATTTTTAGATTTAAGAAAACAAATGCAGAGCTCTGTGAATCCAACTGTTTATCATCGGTGTCTATTCTACTCCTGGTAGATTTGTTACTATACTATAGTATAGAGACAGATTTAGATCTAGTTAATCAAGTATTAGATCTAATTACTTACTAGATCTAGTACTAGTCTAGTACTTATAATTTATTACCAAGTCTGCCAGTCGGTACACTACTACATTTCACTCCTTGACGACCTAGTCTAGATTCTAGATCTATTAAATTAGTAATCTTAGATCTTAGGTCTAGATTCTAGACTAGAATAGTTCAGAAGAATAGATCTTGAAAATCCAGATCAAACTAATAAATTAAATTAAAAAATAACAATAACTTAATTAATAATAGGGCCTAACTACTATAACATTTTCTGGTCATTTTATAACTACACTTAGTACACTAGACTAGACGTCACTTAGGCCTACCCAATTTTTAATTTTATTTTATTCCTAATCAGACCTAATCTTATCTAGATCTAGTTATTAGATCTAAATGGCAAATGCTATTAATCTTAGCCCTAACTCAACTCACCTAACTGATTTTTATCCACCCTTTTGAAGGCAGTAAATATTCTTATTCTGGTGTTTATAATAAAAAATATAAATTATAATAAATCACAATTTATTTGAATATATGACTTTACAATTTCTTTTACAGAAATTCAAGAACGTCTAACACAATGGCATTAGTTTGTGAATCAACCCAGCTTGATAGGCTGGTTGCAAAGGCAATATATGCTGCTGATGCCCTCAGGAGCTCAGTTGGAACTGCAGAAAAACTGAAACAGCTACAGAAAAAAATCAATTTCTTCATGCAGCAAGCACAGATTATACTGACATGGAAGCGAAGTCTTGGTGCTTTGAAAATGGTTGGATCTGCAGCAAAATCGTTTGGGGCCATCATGGTTTTAGCAGCTCCTCTACACCCAAAACTTAATCTGGCTCTAAGAATAGGAAACAAAATGTGGAAGCTAGGAGCTGGGTTGAAAATTCTGAATTATGTGGCGGGGATCTTGAAAAATATCTGGCAGTCTGGTTGTCGGAACGCTTTGATAGAATTCACACATTGCTCAGCCCAGCTTTCACAGAGGATAAGTATTTTTGGTGAGCTCATTCATGACATGCAGGGTATCTCACAGTCTTTTGATGGTAACATCACACATACATCTCAAAATCTTATCCATATAATCCAGCAAATCGTACCTGAACATCAAGTTGGATATGTCACCCACGTGATGAACATGGTCTTTGGTGACAGGCATTACTCCCCACTTTTTGATTTCCTGGCTCTGTCAAACAAACCATCCAGTGATTCAAACTTTGCCCAACTTCTTTCAGAGCTAGAGTCTTTTAACTTTACGAATTTTGTTGAATTAAGCGACTCAAAGACCTTGGTAGCTATTGGGAGTTTTCTTCACATCAGCAGGGAGCTGGTCGATTTTTTGGATGGTCTGCGTAATTTTACCGAGCAGGACTGCAGGTTTTTGAGTGAGTGCCTCGTTAGATGCAGCCAAGAAACATTGACCATCATGAGAGTTGTGTCAGTTTTAACGAGCCTTGACAAAATTAGAAAGGGATCACTTAACACTGCCAACTCACAGGGCACTGTCATGTATCATACAAAAAATCCAACTACTTCTGACACTGTTTCTCAGGTTGTACCCACTGATCAAACTGGTCCAAATTCTTCAGAAACTAATAATTTATTACCAGATTTGAATGCCCACAATCAGAATGTTAATCAAGGCTTGGCAGTTTCTATAGAACCAAACAATCTTGCACAAGAGTTGACTGAGCCAGGGCCACAGGGGAATGAGGCTATCCCAGTCTCAACCAGCACAACCACAGACCAGACCACATTTGCTGAAAACTCCAGGAACTACATCTCAAAATCTTTGTCCACATTTTCACAAGCCATCAATCAAGGCACAAACTTATTGTCATCAGCTGTGTGGGGGAAACCAAATCAACCCTCCAGCAGCGTTTCACAGTTTGATCCAGACAATCATTCAGCTAATAGAATATAACATCATTCAGCTAGAATATAACCATTTTATCATTCAGCTAATAGAATATAACAATTTAATCATTTAGCTAATAGAATATAACATTTAATCATTTAGCTAATAGAATATAACATCATTCAACTAGAATATAACAATTCAATAGTTCAGCTAATAGAATATAATATAACACTTCAATCACTCAGCTGAAATATTCAATAGAGTATAACTGTTTTATCATTATGCTTATGGAATAGCATAATTATTAATTATTAATCATCCCAGTAAATTCAAGTGTAGAAATTAATACACACATTCAGCTAATTAAATATAACAGTTAATCAACCAGCTGATAAAATATAACAGTTCAATCATTATGTATAACATAAAATAACAGTGAATTAGCAATTGTGTTAATAAAATTTAATAAAATAAATAATTTTGTGTGCATAGATTTATTGACTGTTAAAAATGCTGTGTATATTTTTCTTGGGTTTTTCCACAATAATTTAATAAATAAAGTGTATACAATAACAGATTATAATGAAATTAATAATTAACATACTCTAGTTGAAATGATAAGTTTAGGGAAAATCAAAAGAAAAAACAAACACGTCTTTTGGATTTACTAAATGAAGATATTAAGTACTTTTTGTTTTGCAGCTCTTTTTGTTAAATTTCATAATGTAAGTGTTCCATCTTTTACAACAAACATCTAACACTCAATAATGTTTTCTTTTATGACTTTTTTTTATTCTTAGTAATAACAATTTTCAGCAAATATGATAAATTGGTTAATCATTTTTTTAAACACTCAGGAAATTGTGTATAGTTGGCCATACAAGAATAAAATTGTTTGCATTTATTAACAACTATTTATTATTTTAAGTGAAGATCTGATAATTTGGTTGTCATTTGAAAAGGGAAATAGGCTGATTTATTGGATACAAAATATTTTTTTTTATAAAATATACAGAAACTCTGTTATTTTTAATACACCTTTAATCTTTTTTACAAGTGTTTAAAGTTGCTTAGTTTTTGATAAGCCATTTGTATTTGAAGCTTTATTATTAAATAAAAATTTATTTTGTTTATTGTTTAAGGTTGAAAAATAAGAATTTAAAATGTTATAATTGAGACAACAAAACAAATAATATTAGACCCAGAAAGTGTTTTGTAACTTGCATAAATTGCATGTTTATGGTGCTATATTATTAAAACTCTTGAGCAATTATTGTGTGGTGCATTATGTTCTTTTAATGTTAAATTTGGATATCACAAGTAGGCCTATCAGAGAAAATAAATTGTTTATGGCGTGTTCACACAGAAAGAATAGAGAACATTTGGTTGTCAAAAATTGTGATATATTTTTTCTGCTGTAGTATCAGCAGCTATGAAGAAAAGGAATTTACAAATATCTACAGCTGATGCTATGGTGATGATTCCTTCTAACATAATTGTTTGAAGTTCTTGGAAAATTTCCCTTTGGTCGGCTGACCAAGGACAGAAATAAATTTCTGATTGTCAACATGGTTTGAATAAAATTTGGATGATGACCCATCCATGTATAAGAGTCGGTTATTTTAAGCATCACTCTGTGGGGGAGGGGGGGGGGGGGGGGGGGGTACATCTATTGCCTCCCTTCTCTGTCCCCTGGGGAAAAATGTCTGTACTTAAAGTCCCAATTTTTTATCGTTAATGCACTCTTAGTTCTGTTACTGCTAATTATGGAGTGCTGTATTGTCAAATAAGCATTGTATACAGTGAATAAGAGACCTAAAACAGCTTTAGTAGTATGTTAAAGTTTGCACGGTAACAGATCAAAAATGGGTTCATATCTCTTGTTTTAGACAGTTATGAGTTATAGAGGATATTTGAATAGACCCTACTTTTAATTAAGCATAAGTATTAAGATTATATAAAGTTATAGCATACAACCATAGCATATATATGTATCAAATATAAATGACCATAGGTACACACTTTTGTAAGGGGATATGACTATGCCATGTAGTTTTGCTTAAATATTAATTGAGTAGTTTCCCTTGGTAAGAAAACTGCAAATGAGTGAGAATATTAAAAAACAAAAGGGAAACTTATAAACTTAAAAAAATTATTCTGTAAGCAGCTTAATAAGCTTATGCGGTTACTACTATAGAATTGTAATTAGTAGATCTAACTCTTTATTATTATTATTTATAACTCGAAGAAAGCTGTTTAGTGAATAGGCCCAATTTAATTTAGATCTAGAAATAGTGCCATTTAACTCATATTTAAGTCGTATTCACGCCTCTGATGACGCCCAACTAAACGATGTCACTAATTATCGTTATTTTTAAAACTAAGGTTTAATATTTTTTTCTAAAAAATCGTGCAATGTGGATCTACTAAATTAAACTAGTAAATTTAAGTAAACTGCATTTGGCTTAACATCAAAAATATTTTTTTTTAGGTCTGCAAGGGAAACCACTCCTAAATGAATTATACAGTTTCCGCTTTCGTTTCTAGAATAGATGGTAGCCTAAACTTAAAACAGAAATTGACTTTGTTACTTTGTAAATTGCATATAACGTATTTCTTCTAAATAAACAGAAGTAATAATTAGAACATCTGTTATGCAACGTTCATAATATCAGATCATACGAATATTCATCAGGTATTAGGCCTATTATTTAACATTCTTTTTAAATTTTGCGCACTGAAAAATAATTTTTATTTCGACCTTGCTTTCAAATTCACGGTAATCTATCATTCTATCGTTTTAGGTACGTAAAATCCCCCGCGACTAGTAATGTGAAAAACAGGTGACTCCTAAAATTATAATATTTATTTCACATTTTGAGGAAGATTTATGTTTTGAAAAATACAAAAATGTTCCCTTGTATGTTACTTTATATACATAGGCCCTACCTGTTTTTAAACAATTGAATTCAAACTTTTCAGTAATAAATAAATGAAGACTAAGACTAGTGATGTTTCCAACAGATGCAACCATGCTCATTTACTAGAGCAGCCATCTTTATTTTTTTTATAGTTAACTTATAGCGCAAGATTCAGGGGAAGCCACTCTAACTTACAGATGGCCGCTTTTCATATAGCAAATCCTGCTCGCAAACACTGCTGTTTAAAGATAATTTCTTGCCTATATTGATATATTTAGCCATTGATTTAGGTTTATTATTCATTTATCTATAATATTTGACACAAATATATCACAATATACTTCTATTAAAGCCTTGACTATGAGTTAACTTTTTTGTACATTACTAGCCGCGGCGATTTTACGTACCTAAAACGATAGATTACTAAATTCACTCGGCCTAGCTAGATCTAGTCTAGAATCTACTTACTTGCATTTTTTTTTTTTACATTTTTCAATTTTATGGTAATCTATCATTTTAAGTGAGTAAATAAAATCGGCAGAGGCTAGTAATGTGCAAAAAAGTTGCCTCATTATCATTGTTGAATCTTTAATTAGGCCTATCCTATACTAACTAGGGAGCCGGACGTTTTCCCGAAAGACACTTGCCCGAATGCCGTTTGCCCGAAGGCCAAATTCCCGAATGGACACTTGCCCGAATGCGACAAATGCCCGAATGGACACTTGCCCGAATGCGACAAACGCCCGAATGGACACTTGCCCGAATGCGACAAATGCCCGAATGGACACTTGCCCGAATGCGACAAATGCCCGAATGGACACTTGCCCGAATGGGACAAATGCCCGAATGGACACTTGCCCGAATGCGACAAATGCCCGAATGCCACTTGCCCGAAGGCCGTTTGCCCGAAAAATGTTAACATTATATATTACTAAATAATCATTAATAATCAATTTAAATTTAAAATGTTGGTAAACAAACACATCTACGCAAAAAGAAAGTGAAAAAAAAATATTATATATTACCACGCAGACATTTTAAATTAATTAGTATTTGATATTTAAAAAGTGTAGAAACATACTTTCTCTTCCATATATGAAATTAGGCAAAAATACAATTTTCATTCATCTCCGGTTTTTAAAATGAGTTTCGCTTTCTTTATTAATTAATCGGTTCTACGCATTGTCTTAACAAGGTGCAATAAATGGAGATCAAACATATTTGACTACGTTTAGTTTTTAAACCTAGACCTCACCTCATTCTTTTGTTACATGATCACCACACAAGTTAAGCATAACAAGATAAACAAACAAACAAACGCGCCTCTGTTCAATGTTGCGAGACCCGCGCCGCCTACGCCGTGTCATAAAAGCTATATCACCACCGCAACACGTCGGCTAAACAAGGTGTTCAAAACTTACATCAAAAGAATGTAAAGACACCGCCGCCAACATCCCCTTATATTAATTAAAGAATAAAGTTTTTCTTACTGCACTTTCTCAGTTTTGAAAAAAATAAATAAAAGCTGAATTTAAAAATACAAAAAACTTTGTTTTATGCTTAGAATTGTGTTTATAATCAAAATTTCAAACTTAAATTGATTAATAAATGTCTGTTTGGAAATATTATTTATTATCTAATATTAATATTTTTCGGGCAAACGGCCTTCGGGCAAGTGGCATTCGGGCATTTGTCGCATTCGGGCAAGTGTCCATTCGGGCATTTGTCGCATTCGGGCAAGTGTCCATTCGGGCATTTGTCGCATTCGGGCAAGTGTCCATTCGGGCGTTTGTCGCATTCGGGCAAGTGTCCATTCGGGCATTTGTCGCATTCGGGCAAGTGTGCATTCGGGAATTTGGCCTTCGGGCAAACGGCATTCGGGCAAGTGTCTTTCGGGAATTTGTCGTAGACCCTACTAACTAATATTTGTGTCAAATATTAGCCTATAACTGAATAATTAACAAATGTGAAGATGATTAGATCTAGCGCATTCTATAGGTCCTATCCGGCTCTTCTAAATTCTAATTTTAATTAAATTCACGATTTTATAAAATTTCTTTCTCAGACGACATGACTAGGTCATGATAGGTTAACAGTATGAGATTTTATTTATTTACAAAAACAATATGTTGATTCTAATTAATATTAAGCATTAAAATAATAAATATTAAGTAAGTTAAATAACATAGCAATTTGTTTTGATTGTTTTTAGATTTGTCAGTCATTTATATTTCCATTCTCCACGCTGAAAAGCAACAACTCGTCTAAATCTTTCACTCACAGAATGGCGTCTCGTATAATGATGCTTGGGCATGTCCTTCACCGTGAAGCACTGAAGCCTAGAATTGTGAATGTACGGGTGATTGAACAAGTCTTTGATGTTCGCTTGAACATGGTAAGAGAATATAATATAGATGCTTTTATTTATTATTCACTGGAGCAAGTTATTTACTATTTTTAATATTATTATGAAAATATTTTTTTTCTTCGGTTTTTTAATAAGAAATTTCTTTGATTAGTTTTTTCCTGAGCCAAGAGACTTCAAAGTCTTAGAAGGTGAAGACAAAGTCAAATCAGGTGATATTGTTCGATTTGAGAAGGTAAAAACCAGTTTTATAAGTCAATATTTGAATATTTGTATTGTTTTAATCGTGCTTATCATCGCCTTATGGTAGTATGTCCAGTTTGAAATGTACATGTGTATCTCATACGTTCATATATAATTGATTTTTAAAATCATATCACTGTTTTTTATGAATTAGTAAGTTACATGTAGTAAGTTAATAGCAGTAAGTTTTAAGTACAAGTTTCTGTTGTTTGTTAGTCCAATATATTTTAATAATAATGAACTTTTATTTAAGCTGCTCCTATAATGGACATAATTTTTTTTTTAAATGTGCAAGTTTAGCAGATTGTATTTTTTAAATTGATTTTTAACAAGTAGCGCCTATATTTGTCACCATTTGAATATTTTATTTTGAAGTTATATTGTTTTATCAAGTATGTATTATTTGTTGTGAATTATCTTTTTTCGCATATTTTTTTGTTCCTCAGCAAGTATATTTGTCACTATTTGAATATCATGTTGTTTTTTATCAAGTATATTAATCACAATTTAAATGTTTTTTTATCAAGTATATTTGTCACAATTTAAATGTTTTTCATCAAGTATATTTGTCACAATTTAAATGTTTTTCATCAAGTATAACTGTCACCCTTTGAATCCCCCCACCAGCTGGAAGAACGCATGTCAGTGGATGTCGGACACAAGATCGTGGAAGTTGTCTTTCCTCTCGGCTTCACAGTTGACCCTGTCACAGGCAGGAGATGCCGGGGGAAAAAGTTCATTGACGAGAAGGCCAGGGTGGAGGAAGCCAAACGGATAGCCACAATCAAGGCGAAGGATAATTATGTTTTGTGATGATCATTTTCTCTGTTGATGTCTCGTGGTGATTACTTTGTGCTGTCTTGGTTGAGTGAAGGTTATTTTGTATGATGTAGTGTTGGTTTCTGAAATATTTTATTAAAATTTTATTAGTATAAAGTTTAAGTTTGTGTTCAAATTGTTAATTGTTTATTAACCCACAAACTGTCAAGTGCAACTCTGTTCTGTGGTGTTGGCCCATTTTAACAGTTTTTCTTATGCTTGATTTAAATGTCAGAATTGTGTATTGAAAGAAATCAGAGACCCTTACATGTATACATTTTCTGAAAGTTTATTGGACAAGGAATCTTGGATAAAAGGAATGACCAGAAAAAAATGGCACATTATGTATGTCAGGGTGGGGCGTGGGATTGATTACACCTTCGGGCTGGTGTAGTTTGTTTTTATTACTGTGCCAGAAGTATGTGGTTAACAGCCAAAGTTAACATAATCAAGTAGAAAGCTGACCAAGCTTTACATGTATGTATTAAGTAGAAAGCATACCAAAGTTTTTCAGATCAAGTAGAAAGCATACCAAAGTTTACTAATATTAAGAAGAAAGGATAAAAAAATTAAAGATATCAAGTAGAAATTATACCAAAGTTTACCAATATGTTAGGTCTATATTTTATGCAGTAATAAAAAAAAATACCAGCAATACCCAACATGAATACATTGGATACATGTATATAAATTACACTAAAAAGCCCAATAATGATTAATGCATATAGTGATATATAACATAGTATAGCAGATTAAATTTTTCACAAACAATGCCTGCAATTTTGAACATCAAAGGTCTTAACGATGTATTCGAGCGTCCCCAATAAAGTAGGGTAACTCCACAGGGAAACCGCCACATTGGAAAGGGTTAAGGGTTTCTTCCCCCTTTGTGTGCAGGCTGATCTCTGTGTATCACGTGATCAGTACTCTTTCTCTCGTGGATCTTTCCGAGGGGTCGGAAGTCAGATGACCACTGGTCATTAGCTGAAATAACTGCGAGAAAATGGAGAGTTGAAATAAGGCGAGAGTGGTAATCCAATGTTTGATGCGTGTCTCAATTAGTTTATCAACTCATTTATCCAACCTTTCTAAATAGCAGAGAGTTTGGATCTTCTCCAGAAAAGCCCTGCCAAAAAGTTAACCCCCGCCACCCAAACAAAATTATCAAGTAGAATTCTATATAAAACTTGTACTTTTAGATTTTATTGAAGAAGGTGAAATTGGGTCATGTTATTAATAATTTGCATGAAAAGTTCTGTACTTTGGTACATGTAAGCAGAGGCGTAGTGATGGAGGGCAATGGGGGGGGGGGGGACATATGTCCCCGGGCGCCGACCTTAGGGGGCGCCAAAATGGGTTGGAAAAAGTAATCGAAAGTTTGACGGGGTGGAAATCAAAAGAATGAGGGGGCGGGGGGTGCAAATCGAAAGTTTGTCTCCGGGCGCCGGGAAGGGTCGCTACGCCTCTGCATGTAAGCCTAATCCCAACCCTAGCACTGGCCCACACCCTAACCCTTAAGGTTGTTTTAATGGCGTATATATACAAATGTCTAGACATCAGATATAGGTCAAGTGCCGGTGTTTAACTTTTCGCCCGTGCATTTTTTGCATTAGTGGCGGGGCTTATTTGGACAAGACCCGAAAGTGTATCCAATGTTCTTAAAAAGCAACTATTTTTTTTCTATGCTTTTTTTTTACTGTAAAACATCCATTTGGAGGTGTTTTTTTTTTAAATAGTTTATTGTGTGTGTGTGAATTGAAACACACTTAAAGAACTACACGCTCAAAGAGTTGGATACGCTAGTCGCTTTCCTGTTAATTTTAAAACGCATCTTTTATTGCTTACCTTCTTGAGGAGTTAGTACGCGGAGAAATTCAACACAATACACGTCTGCTCCACCGGAAACACATCAGACGTGTAGTGTGCTATCATCAAAGCTGGAGACACGTCATTAAAACGTGTGAACTTCCTGTATTTCTAAAATAAAGCAAGTAATTAGCAATACATTCAGTCATTTGAAAAAACATTCGTTAGCTTGTTTGTTTGAACTGCTCCCCCCCTCCACCCCCATAGAGATGACTAAAAGAAACTCTTGTCGGGGGGACTGAGGGGGGGGGGGGAGACACCAGATACAGTTTTTCATGGTTTAAACACCCCCTACCTTACGCCTCCCAGAGTTTCTTTCAGGCATCTCTTCGAGATGGGCTACCCTCCCCATCCCCCCACCCGAAGAAATTCTACCCCCCTCCCGAACGAAATGGAATTTATATAGAAAATAAAGGCCTATACAGTACTATACTCCTATACTTATATCACTGTCCGCACCCCCCCTCCCAAAAAAAAATAATAATTAAATGCCCCCCCCCCCCCCTGCCCTCGAAGAAAAATGTCTAAAAGAAGCCCTGACACCAACGTCTTTATATAAATAATGTGTACGTAAACAGCAGGCGATTAGGTGACATTCAAAGTCCATTGTTGTCACCCCCACCCAGTAGCGTAGCGAGGGGGGGGGGCGGGGGGTGGACATATGTCCCCGGGCGCCGACCTTAGGGGGGGGGCGCCAAATTGAAAGTTTGAGGGGGGGTGCAAATGAAAAGTTCGAGGGGGGGGGTGCAAATCGAAAGTTTGAGGGGGGGGGGGTGCAAATAAAAAGTTCGAGGGGGGGGGGGGGTGCAAATCGAAAATTTGCTCTGGAGGGGGCGCCAAATTGGGAGTATGTCCCCGGGCGCCGGGAAGGGTCGCTACGCCTCTGCCCCCACCTCCCACCCCTTCCCGAACCTTGGGCCCTGCCTTGTGACTTTAAATCTCACACATTTCAGCAGATTTAAAAAAAAAATTCTCATCATATTAAAAAATATTCGCCTAAAATTTTGTGCCAAATTTGTTGTGTAATTGAAATGATGACTATAATAGATTGACGATAGAAGCATGTGGTTGTATATAACGTTTATTGGGTCTAACTACATGTTGATACCACAGAGAGAGGAAGACGGAAGGAAGTACAATGCACAAGGGACATCACTCAAGATAACAATATAAATATAATACTAATACAGAAGAGTGAGTTCCCTTGACCTCACAATTATCTCAATCTATTACATCCCTTTACCCTTAGAACACAATAACACATCTCTCAATAGAACAATTGATAGTATCCTAAAATCACCAATTATATTGTAACATGAACACTATGGTAGATTACATCCTTACAAACAATGCACAATATGCTACAACATAATCAAGATACAAAACAATGATGTCAAAGTCCTTTTGACCTTTAAAATCATAGGTCTAACTTATTTGGGACTTTGATTGTCCTGCTTGTCCTTCTCAGTGGCTTTTGATTTGGTGACTCAAGATTCTGACCATCTGGATTCTCTATCTCAGGAGGTCTAGGATTTAAATCATTAACTCCAGAATTTACATTTTCTGACTCTAGACAACTTGGTTCACTCATATCAACAGAACTTGGTTGTGGAACAAACTGAGTTGGTGTGAACTGATCAGATTTGGTGGGATTGACAGATTCACACTTATTATCTGCACAAGTTATTTTTAACTGGTCTGCATGTCTACGGACAATAAGTCCATCATTTGTTTTTACTTTATAAGACACAAGTCCTGTACATTGAACAATTTGACCTGGTATCCATTTTTCCTTTCTCCCATAATTTCTTAGATACACATTCTCATTAACACCAAATTCTCTTTCAATGGATGATTTGTCATGATTTACTTTTTGTGTATGTTGATGTTGGGAAACAGACCTTTGAACAGTTGGATGTAGTAGGTCAAGATGAGTTTTAATTTTCCTACCACATAGCAATTCACATGGTGCAACACCTGTTGTTATATGAGGAGTTGTGCGGTATTTGGTTAAGAACCTGTTTACTCTTTCTCTAAGAGAAAACTTGTTACCGGTATTCATTTTTACCATAGCGGTTTTGAATATGCCTACCGCTCTTTCAGCCAAACCATTCCCAGCAGGATGATAGGGGGATGTGGTTATATGCTCAATACCATTTGCCACACAAAACAGTTTAAACTCATGAGCTGTGAAACTAGGCCCATTATCTGAAACAATTTGATCTGGTAATCCATGAGTTGAAAATATTTCCTTCAGTTCTATAATGGTATCATTTGCAGTGATTGTGTTCATGATTTTAACTTCTAACCATTTAGAATGTGAATCAATAACAATTAAGAACATTTTGTTCATGAAAGGTCCTGCGAAATCTATATGTATACGTTTCCATGGTTCGACTGGCCAGTCCCAGTTTTGCAAAGGTGCTGTAGCTGGTTGATTTGAATGTTGTGCACAGCTTGAACAAAGTTTTACATATTTTTCAATATCAGCATCCATATGTGGCCACCAGAACCATGATCTTGCTAGACTCTTCATTTTGGAAGAACCAAGATGAGTATCATGTAAAGTTCTTAAAACTTCTTTTTGTAACATTTTGGGGATAATTACTCTTGACCCCCATAGTATACATCCATCTTCTAGACTTAACTCTGTTTTTCTTATTTTATATGGCTTTAAGTCCTCATTCACTGACTCTTCAGGCCAACCATTTTTACAGTACTCATATACTTTTATTAAGCACTCATCTTTTTGTGTTTCTCTTTTAATATCATTCACATTTATATTGGAGTTATCCATGATAGTGAAGAGAACAAATACATCTTCTGGTACATAGCTCAGGCTTTGGTTTTTTAAAGGTAATCTACTCAGACTATCTGCACTATTCTCAGATCCAGGTTTGTATTTCAATTCATAATTGTATGCAGTTAGTGTGATAGCCCATCTTTGAATTCTTGGTGAGGCATGCTCAGGTAGGGTTTTGTTTTCTCCAAATAAACCTAGCAATGGTTTATGATCTGTAAAGATGGTGAACTTCCTACCAAACAGAAACTTATGAAATTTCTTAACACCAAAAATGATGCCTAAGCCTTCCCTATCTAACTGAGAATAATTTTTCTCAGCCTGGTTCAAAGATCTACTGGCAAAAGCAATGGGTCTGTCACCCTTCTCATCCATGTGGGACAAGACTGCTCCTACACCATCTGGTGAAGCATCACATGTTAATATAAGTCTTTTCCCTGGGTCATAGTGAGTTAGT